ATCCGTTACGAGCGTTGTTCTCAGATACACTGAGCACTACCTCTCTGAATACGCCAAGGCTCCCGCCACTAACTGGAAGGCCAAGGACACTGCAACCTATCTTTTCTCTTCCATTGCAGCGAAGGGAACTGCCACGTCAAGCCACGGTGTGACTGCTACGAACAAACTCATTAGCATTACCGATTTCTTCCAGAAGCACCTTGCGGCTGATTTGATTAACGATGAGGGTGTACATCCCATTCTGAAGGTCGACGCCATCAAGTACCTCTACCTCTTTCGAAGCATTATCACCAAGGAGCAGTGGCAGGAAGTTCTCCCTATGTTGGTCAAGCACCTCGGCTCCTCGGAATATGTCGTTTACAGTTATGCGGCGATCGCCGTGGAGCGTGTCCTCTACCTTACCGACAGCCAAGGCCAACCGATCATCTCCCCCGCTACTATTACACCGCTGTCTAAGGACTTGTTGGAACACATCTTCTCACTGATCCAAAAGGACCAGGCCCCTCAGAAGGTGCAGGAGAACGAGTTCCTGATGAGATGTGCGATGAGAGTCCTGATCGTCATCAAGGAGGGCATTGTGCCGCACACCGACAGTGTCCTTCAGCACCTGATCACTATCACGAAAATCATCAGCAGCAACCCAAGCAACCCTAGGTTCTACTATTTCCACTTTGAAGCCCTTGGAGCTTTTATCCGGTACGTGAGCTTCGGCAGTCGCTCGAACACAGTCACTAACCGATGAATTCTAGGTTTGCGGCCCCTGCCAACCCCGACAAACTCGAACAAGCTCTTTACGCTCCTTTCGCAGAGATCCTCCAAGGGGATGTGCAAGGTCAGTTGCCAACCATTTGGAACAGCACTATGAGCTGTGGCTAACGTATGATTAGAGTTCATGCCTTATATCTTCCAACTCTTTGCTGCACTTCTTGAGGCAAACCCCTCGGGAACACTCCCTGACTACTACCAGAACCTGATTGCCCCGATCCTGATGCCTGTCATGTGGGAGTCGAAGGGCAACATCCCTGCACTTGTGCGACTTTTGTCGAGCATCATCCACCGCGGATCTCAATACATCATCCAGAATGAGCAAATTGCTCCTGTTCTGGGTATCTTCCAGAAGTTGCTTTCGACCAAGACCAATGAAGGTTATGGATTCGACCTGTTGGAGTCCGTGGTTGCAAACTTCCCTCCGTACGCGAAGCCCCGGTATGATCATTGATACGATCATTTGCTAACTATACTCCAGGGCAACACTGGAACAATACTTTGTTTCCATCATGCAGATTATCCTTACCCGCCTCCAGAATTCCAAGACGGAAAACCTGACCCTCCGATTCGTCCGTTTTTATCATTTCGTCTCTGCCCAGGATGACAAGGGCTACAGTGCTGACTTCGTCATCCAAGTGATCGACAAGGTCCAGCCCGAGTATGTACAATCCAATTTCACCGTGGGAGCTAGCATGCTAACTGCCTCCAGGCTGTTCACTCCCATCTATCTGAACATCATCCTTCCTGAAACACAAAAGCTCGCTCGTCCGTTGGACCGCAAGACCGCAGTGTTATCGTTCACTAAAACTCTTGCTAACTCGGAAGCCTTTGCTAGCCGGTACAAGAAGGGATGGGGCTTCACATGTGAGGCTCTTCTCAAGCTTCTTGAGCTGCCTCCTCTCCCTGCCAGCAAGGATGACATCATCGCCGAGCATGACGTGGAGGATATGGCATTCGGTGTTGGTTTCACAGCGTTGAACACTGTGCGACCACAGACCAGGGACCCTTGGCCCGACACGGGCGCCGACCTGAAGGCCTGGACTGGCAAGTACCTAAAGGAAGCAGACAAGAAGCACAACGGGCGCATTTCTGGCTTTGTTCAGGAGCGTCTTGGAGCCGAGGCGAAGACAGTGCTACTTAGTTATATCGCATGAGCAGGCTAATGGAGCAATTTGCACCATTTACTGGGATGTATAAACAATCCTATGTCTGATAACTCGACCGTCTCTGCATTATGCCAAAAAGAAATCATGGAGAAAGTGTTGGCTAGCTTCAACTACTCCATTGCATGTCCTTATGAATTGAATTATATTTAGATGACACTGATATGCCTTGACTTCCTCGTAGTTGTGTTGCGAAGTGACTAGTGGTTGATGTTTTCTAAGTTAAACTACGCTGGGAGAGAGACAGCGTGCCTTCATCCCGTGTGTGAACGCTAGAATAGCGGCGCACGCGATGCAGAGGATCACATTACCTCTAGCCTCGCGCGATGTCTGGGAGATGCTTCTGCTGTAGAATCTGTTGTTGAGGGGACGGCTGATGAGGACTTTGTATGTCTGCTCCCTCCAATTTTGATTCATGCTTTGAATCAGCCGACTCCGGTGCATCGTTCTCTTCTTCTGCTTTTTTTATCTCCTGACTCTCCTTGCCATCTTCGAGCTCACGATACTTGCGCCGGCTCTTCTTCATTTTACTGGCCTTCTTCTTCCGGGCGCGGTCGGCCTTGATAGCCGCACGACTTTGATCCCCATTCAAGAGCTCTTCGACCTTGTCAGCAAGCAGCTGGCGGGCAATCTTTTCATTCTGGGAACGGGATCTTGTGGCTTGAGACTTGACCACTACACCCGTGGGTTTGTGTATGATCTGGACGGCAGAGTTGGTTTTGTTCTAGGCATTGGAAAAGAAGAAAGTTAGTATCAGATAATAAATTTAACCAACGGAGTGAGAATTGGGGTGGGGGGGAGGGGATGGAAAATATCTGGTTGGCATACGATCTTTTGGCCTCCAGGGCCAGTGCCCTTAAGGTATGAGATGGTCACGTCGGCATCTTGGATCTTCAGGCGGGGAGGCAAGGCTTTGTCGGCGAGGGAGAGCGCAGAGAGAGTGAAGAACCTTGGGAAGGTGGGGAGGTAATTGGATATGAGAAAGGGGCGTGTGATGTAGGGGGTCAAGTGGAGGGGACGGAACATGGTGATCTGAGGCACCTATTACTAGGTTCCATCTGGAGTACTCTATTATTGCTTGATTAGTATTACATGAAGCTGCATGGTGTAATTGGCGGCGACGTACGGAGTGCTGCTGCTGCTGCTGCTGCTAGCCTGCTAAGTACTACTAGTACTGCTAGTAGTACTGCCGGGAGGAAATCATCACTGGATCTGGACCCGTTTTACAATACCATACCATAATTTACCATTCACTGGTCGGTGACTAAGACAGTTAGTCTCGCACCACACCAGATAACTCTTCTAGTTGGTTTTTCTGTTGCCCTACTTACTACTATCTACTCCGTACTCCAACTGCGGTTCTCCTCTTCTTCCATCGGAACTGATACTCTGGTTTCCAAACAATATGGAGGATTGGATTGGATTGGATTTGTCTCACCTCTTTCTCACCCTGAATCTACAAAGTAATTGATAGGCCTGGGGAAAATTGGCCAAGCGGAGAGGGTGACGTACGCCGCCCAGTGGATGCGCGGACGACAGCCATCGTCGCACGCCAATCAGTGTCAGATCGCGCGGGAAAATCCTCCCCATGAAGGGCAAAGACAGGCAGGGTAGGCATTTGTTTCCAGTGAACTGGATGAGAATCTGAAACTTTGCACGCTGCAATCCTTCGGCTGGACCCTGAGGGGAGAGGGAAGTGGACCTTTTGGTTTGGTTCTCTCCCGTGGCGGTGGATTTGATTTTGACTTAGTCTCGGCGGCCGATTTGAAACAGTGTCCAGATCGCAAGCATGGACTTGACGGGGGCGCCGGTCTAACTCTCTAGTTATCTGAATTCGTATTCGTTCTTCATGACTTTAAATTATATGACTATCTGTTCCGTCCGGCTGTGAAGCTATTCTTAGTTGAGGTGGCCATCCTGCCTGTTTTTTCCCCCATTCCTGTTCCCCTGGACTTAATCTGAGCTTCTTTTACATTGAGGGGGCTAATTTACTCTTCTACTTTTCTCTCAACCATCACAGCCTCCTGCCAATTTTCTCACTCTTACTTTCTGTCCCTTTCACCGACTGGAATTGATCAGCTCTTTGTCGATCAATCCACACCTTGATAGTATTTTTTTTTTTTTTTTTTTAATTCTATTACTTATTTTCTTTTTTCCCCTCTGTGACCTGCCGACTCAGCACTTTATCTTTTCCTCCATCAGCAAACCGACTGGACAGATCATGGAAGCCTAGTTGAACTTCAACAAAAATAATCTCCGTCTTCCTACTACTTTTCCTCCTCCCTTCCCCAGCGCGCCGGGACCAATTACTTCAACCTCAGTGGGCGACTGCGATAATACTCTTAAGGACTTTCCGGGGCAGGAGCTAATTCCACCCCTCATTACCCTCGTATTCCGCGCTTTTCTCCGCTTCTTCACTTTCTTTGACCTTCTCCTGGCTCGCCGCCGGTCCCCCTTTCGTTCAATCCTTTCACAACCCGCCACCCTCCCACCATGTCTCTCTTCTGGATCCTGAACTCCTTTATGCGCTGGGTGCGCTTGAAGATATATCAATATGAGGTGACCTTCGCCGTGTACATGCTTACGCCTACCGAAAAGTTCATTTTTAGTATGTTCATCTGGTTGACATTGAGCGCCCCCCCTCAAGTTTCGAGATTGCATTTTTCTTGCATTAAAGCCGCATGGTACTAACGGGGAACGTTCTAGATTCCCTTCTCCTCACTCTCCTCTCAATGATCGTAACCGGCATCTATGTCTACCTTCCCGACCACATCCGATCCATTTATAGTCACCTTTACTACTACTGGGCTGGCGAGCGTCCGTTTATCTCTGCGAGCCTTCCATCGATCAGCTCCGTATTCCGCGAGACCGGTACCCAGACTTTGGAAGTGATGTACGAGACGGCCAAGAATGCTGCTGCGACGGCCACTGCTCCAATCGCCGAACTGTGACATCTCCCCGCTACAGTAGCAATACGGGTTGGATTCTCGGTGTTGGTGACGATTGTGGGCTGCTGGATTGGGTCATCTGGCTTCTCTGTTTCTCCTTGTGATACCATCGGGACTTTTTCTTGCATTTCGCTATTCGTATCCGCATACTGGCTGCCACTAATTATCCTCTATGACCGCATGCCTCTCTTGTCCTCGAGCATGGATTGCATCAGCATTTCACGATTCACCGCACTGCTCCTCCACCGAACGGTTCCTATCGGCGTTGTGAAGTTGTTTCATGGAGTTTGAGCGATACTGTTCTGAGCGGGCCGGCGCATCCTAGGAGTTTCATCATCTTCGTTTTGTTTCCTCCCCTGGTTCATACTCTGCCTCACGCATATTGTTTATACCTTATCGAGGCAAATCATTGTTACGATCACATACTTTGGTTGCTCGTGTTACTTTGCGCGACTGGACGCTGGAGATCCACTGACTGCACATTTTCTAACATATAAAATTTTAATTCTGTACGGAGCACGACAGTAACGCCGGAGGTAGCACCGAATGCTTTGGAATGCCACGTTTTCTTGCATCATTATGCTCAGCCGAGCAGAAACTTTTGCTTTGACATTGCGCCAGATAAAAGTACATATAAGTTGAAGTAAAATAATATAAACACAAATATACCCAATCCAATCATCAAGCCCATCAATCAACCAAATGCAACTCCCGCCATGCTCAGAGAAGAGTGTTATACAAAACCCAGAAAAAGTCCCCTCTATCGTGGGTACGCGAGTAGGACACCGTGCAACATAGCCCCCATTTTCACCTTCGTCGCACATACACACACACATAGGAAATGTGCGGTACGCATATAAAAGTATACATATATGCCGGTTCCGAACAGATCCGCCAGTGTATTCCCCCCACTCAGACAGATACTTATCCCACCCTAAACCCATGGTCTGTGTAGACAATCACCGATAACCCCTTATAAATCAAACACAACCGCACCGCATCAATCAATTCTCGTAGTCCATTTTACTCCGCATTCGCAGATGTCTCCTGAGCTTGAGCCTCAGCCTCCAACGCCGCGCGCTGCTGTCGCTTCTCCCGCTTGACCGCATCCAACATGCGCATGCGCGACAATTCGCGATCAATTTCTTCTTTCTCGAGGGGGATTTTGTGCGATTGCTCGGTGGTGGGCCAGAAACCGGGGACGCTGAAGCGGTCGTCGAGGTTCGTGCCGAAGTAATACATCCATCCGATGGGGAAGATGATGTACATGCCGAACTAGATGGATTAGACTCTGCTACTCTTCCACTGGGCATGGAATGAGAAGAATTGGTGCTTTGCATACCTTGAACACCTCGAGGTTGCCTCCCTGGAGTCTGCGGAGGATGGAGGACATGGTGGGCTGTTGCTGTTGCTGTTGGTGGGATGGATGGACGGGTGGTGAGTGAGTGTGTGTGTTTCTTTGATCTTCGATTCTCCTTGGTGTGGTTGTATATGAGGGGAAAAAGAGTACTGATGCTAATGTCGAGGTATAAAGTTGCGATATCTTTCCTGATCCGTCCACCGACGAAACAAATTAATCTGGGCTGATCGTTTCCGATACTAAGTACGGACGGATTATTATCACGGAGCTTCTGACCATGCCATGCCGACCGTGCATTGCAAACTGAGCAAACAATTTCCACGTGCCGCGCAAGTCAGGTGACGTAAATTACTCAGCAGGACTCGACTCAACTTCGCGGCCTGCCGTGGGCCGAGGCTCCTAAGCCTCGGTCCGTGGGTTTCCCCGCATAGGCGTTGGATGGAGGAGGAGGTTAGCAGATCCCCGTTAGTAGAATCCACCTGTTGGTTATTTCTGTTGTAAGGGACTAATAAGACTAGAGGGTTTCCTGGAATTGCTTTTTATCTAGAATTGTCGCACACCGAATACTTCCATCTGACCTTGCAAGTGTGCATATAGAGATGGTTACACAGCATCTCCTTGTTTCTTTCTTTTGAAGCGGCTTTAAACCCTCCGAGTCTCCGATAGTCACTATCCAACAGTTCTATACCTACTTTGCCTAGCATAACCCCTATCTACTACTATCTACACACTCTCTTCTCTGTGACAGCACAACACACAAACCACACAAACCACCCCGACCTTCAACATGGCCACTACCACCGAAGACCCCATCAAACTCACATACCAAGGCCGTCTGGCAATAATCACCCTCAACCGGCCCAAGAAACTCAATGCCCTAGACGCAGATCTCTACTACCTCCTCGGCGAACGTCTCCGCGAAGTAGACAAGCGCGATGACATCTACATCACCATTCTCACAGGCTCAGGACGTTACTTCTCCGCGTGAGCCTGCCCCTCCCTTTTCCCCCTCCCTTCCCCAACTGCATCGAAACTAATGCCTCCATCTCCAGCGGCGCAGACGTAACCTCCTCCCGCCCCGGCGGCGGCCTCGGCACCTCCGCACGGCGCGACCTCGCCCGATCCTTCGTAATAAACAACTTCGACATCACACACACGTTCGCGCACCACTCGAAGATCCTCATCGCGGCACTGAACGGCCCCGCCGTCGGACTCTCCGCGGCCCTCATCGCCCTCGCGGACTTCATCTACGCTGCGCCGCACACCTTCCTCCTCACGCCGTTCGCCTCGCTGGGCCTTGTAGCGGAGGGCGGGTCGTCGCGGGCGTTTGTGGAACGGTTGGGCATCGCGAAGGCCAACGAGGCGCTTATTATGAGTAAGCGGATTACGTGTGAGGAGTTGGTGGCCACGGGGTTCGTGAATAAGGTGTTTACGGCGCCGAGTGGGAAGAGTGACGATAGTGAGGGGTTCTTGGGGTTGGTGTTGCAGGAGGTGGAGGAGAGGTTGGGCTTGCATTTGAATCAGGATAGTTTGCTCAAGATTAAGGAGTTGATTAGACGGCCTGAGAGGGAGGTGTTGGATCGTCAGAATGGGTTGGAGGTTTTTGGGGGGCTTGAGAGGTTTTTGAGTGGTGTGCCGCAGGAGGAGTTTAGGAGGGTGGCGAGTGGGGAGAAGAAGCATAAGTTGTGAGTGAGTGAGTGAGTGAGTGATGGAGTGAGGGGGTATATAGTAGTGGTAGTAGTATATAGGGGATAGATGGTAGAGAGGTGGAGGTTAATGCATCACTTTTAGTGTTCGGTTTTTGTGGTCCCGCTAGTCCTAACGCCGCGTTATTATGCTGAGCCGAGCTGCGCTCTTTGGTATGTTCGTAACTAAGTATACATGCGATGTATGGTTGGGTCCTCTATTGGGCTTCATTGTCCGAGTCGGACTCCTGCGCCTGCTTCGCCAGAATGTCCTGCCACTTTCCTAGGAACTCGCTCATGCCTCCAGGACCGGAGATAGACGCGTCGACCACCTCCTTCGGCAGCTTGTGAGCTGAGTACTGCGGGGTCGTGAACGCATACGCCTCCGGGTCATCGCGTTTGATGAGCCGGAACTCCGGGAACAACGGCGCATCATCTGCGTTCTCGTCTTCGGATGCGGACTCGGACTCGGATTCGGACTCTTCATCTGGACCAGCAACTGGTTCCAGATCACCATTGGCATTCAGAGAAAGCCGCACGAATTGCTCTTCCCCATTGTCGTCTTCCTCCCGGATACCCACGGGATCCTTCATATGCAAAATCTCCATCCAGCTGAACAGCAGCGAATCGGTCCTCTCCGCCCATGGGTTGATATCGATAAGCCACACCCTGTCATGCGGCGGCGGGATATAGACATCAAACACAAAGTTAGGATCCGTGAACGTATCCTTCAGCTTGTCATCGAAGAAGGTCTGGATCCGAGACCGGAGAGAGTCCCGCATGGGGAAGAGGAAGTCGAAGTGATTCTGATCACGTTGGCACATGCACAGGAGGACTCTGTTGCGTACGAAACACCGGAACTCGAGCGATGGGTTGAAGTTGACGTATTTGCGGAGGACGAGGTAGTAGGGGATTTCGGGGGGCGTTGAGGAGGAAGAGTCGTCGGTAGTGGTAGTGTCAGGAACGCAGTCGTCGAATGGGTGTTCCAGGTCATGGCTGATGAAGTCACTGCTTTTCAGGAGGAGGTAGATGTCGTTGGCTGTGCGACATTGCGTGTCGTTGGTGGCGGACATCCAAGTCGCATCTTTGGGCGCACTCCAGTTCAGCTTCGGTGTCACTTTGCCGCCGTATTCGGTAATTGTAGATTTGATTTGGGCGTGGATCTCGGGCCATTCGAGTGACGGATCAGGCTCCTCGTCTGCGCCATCATCGGAGAATGTGTCAAGGTTGTCGTCGTCTGTCGGCGGGGCAGCTTCTGGTGGCAGAACGATACCGTCCGCTCGGAGGTAGTTAACGAAGGGGGCAGTGAGACGGATAGCACGGGACTTGGGGACAAGTGTGCGGTATCTGCGAGGGCGTTGTCTGATTAGAATCTTCGTTCATGTATAGAGGGGTTATATTGGGGACATACCGAGGCTGCCAGTGATGATAAGAGCAATGTAGAATGTGAGAATAAGTGACTGGAGGGAAAGGCAGTCTTGTTAATGGCTCGGTGGGAGCTTCGGCCGCCGGAGCTGGCGCCTCTGGGTCAATATGAGGCATATTGGTTGTATGCGCCACAAGTTCGGAATATTGTGATGGTGAAGATGGAGATAAAAGTTATCTCGTCGATCGCAAAGTCCGCGGGGTCTTTTTCTTTTTTGGGGATGACTCAAGTCACTTACCCGAAATAGTATGGTTGATACAGCCATGACCGTACCGTATTGAAGCCACGTGCTGCCTCAGGCACAATGGATCGTCATCCAGTGATTACGGGTTGCGTAGCATCATTCCAGGTAGTGCTCCGGCTGGCATTGATGCCCTGTATTGTTGGCTTGTCCCGCCAGCGTCCTTTCCTTTCACCATGGCGTCCGATGGTCCGGATCCGCAGTCATTGAAATCCTGGCAAGATGCATTTCACTACCCAATTCCTACTGTGCGCCGCGTGGAGCAGGAGCTGCGCCGGGACATCGCAAGCAATAAGGAGAAGCTCAGGGCTCTTGTCGGGTATGTGAAGGCCGACACCCATGTTTGCTATAGGAAGGACTAACAAAATTTGGCGCATCTAGTACGAGATACCGAGAACTCATTGGCACTGCCGAGACGATCGTGTCGATGAATCGCGAAATGGAGGATGTGGATTCGACGCTGGCCGACATAGGACGAAGATGCAATCCACGCCTGATGGAGAAGATGTACACACATTACAACCAGATAAAGGAGGATAGTCATGATGAAGGTATGGTGTAGTTGTAATCGTGGCTTGGGTCTATAACCAACAGCTGATGGGAAATAGATGCCGCGAAACGAGCGCTCGGAGGGCAACTGGCTTTACTTCATCGCTGCGCATCGTCAATTTCTAAGCTTCTGCGTCGACGCGGCTCCGTCTTGCTTGTGGCCAAGCTTATGGTCATTTCTCGTCTCTTACACAAGACTCTCTCCCAGCAGGCCACGGTGCCACCATTTGTGGAGGACCTACGCAATCAATTAGCATCCCTCCAAAGAAGTCTCTTGAGGAGGCTTGGAAAGCGGCTCGCGTCTGCTAAATATACGGCTGACGAGATTATTGAGGCTTTGGCAGCATACTGTCTTACAACTAGCTCTTCATCGGATGACGCCATCCGCTACTTTCACCGGGTTCGCTTAGATGGCATTGGAAGCCAGCTGGAGCTTGTCGACCCGTCAGGCGAGAATGTTCTGAGCAGCTTACGGCTATATGTTCGGACACTCCAGACTTCTAAGATCCTGCTATCTCGCCGATTGTCAGATGTCCTGAGCCGGCTGAAAGCACGGCCTCTGCTGACAGACCCTGAAGTGCGGAGTTTGGACGACCTAGACCTCGGTGTTCTGGGACGCTGGGTTGCTGCAGATGTTAACAACTTCACACCATGGATCAAGCTCAGTGAGCTATCAAAGTCGGACGCCGAGAAGACGATTAAACAATGGTCGAAACCGGCTTTCGACAAGTTCCTAAATGGATGCCGGGGCACCCTTACAAACTGGCTAGACTTCTCGAAGCTTCTCTCGTTACGCAAGCAAACATTGGAGCTGTGGCTATCTTCCCGAAGCTCGACACCTACCCATTCATCGTTACAAGTTCTGGAAGGACTTAGGTCAGTTTTCAATGATCGACTTAGGGGTATTCTGTCAGAACAAGCCAAGACATTGGACCTATTTGGTCAAGGTGTCGCCTCTGCAGTGTCGAATTGGGGCGACAGAGCCCACGCGGCTTCGCAATCACTTTGGTCGGAGGACTTGATTTCCCATGACTATTCCAATGGCTCTGCTGCATTCAAGCAAGCTGTCACGGACAGACTCCTGGGGCGTGATGGTGACGTATCCGCTGTGCTGGACAAATACCAGGGATGGTTGTCTGCCATCGAAGTGTCCAGGGAATCTATCGACGGCCTACGGCAAGTACGCTGGTCCGACGTCTTGGATGAAGGTGAGGACGAGGATCTCGATATTGATGTCTCTGCCATGTTGAACGACGACGATCCACGACTGCTCCGCGAAGCCCTTCAGGCGGCAATTGGACAAGCATTCGACACACTCCAAAGTTCGCTCAGCATAACCTTCAAATCGCTCGAAAAGCAGGGACAAAGCGGTGAGGCCGCTTTTATGCTGAAGACTATCCGACTTGCTCGAAGGGATCTGCCTATTCAATTTGTTGCGAGCGATTATGCACTGTCCCAAAGCATCGTGCCGGATTTGCAGAGAATCCTTGCTACAGACATAGTCAGCCGCACAGGCCCCTGGAAGTCTCCGGCTACTTCGAAATCGAAGTCTGGAAAAGTGCCAGGTCGCACGCTTTGGGAGGGTGATCCTGAAATCCCTGTCCAGCCGACACCATCGACGTTCAAATTCCTGCGTAAACTTGTGCAATCTATGGATCAGTACGGCGCTGGACTTTGGGATGTTTCCACGACGCAGACGCTAAAAACTGCCATGACCAAGGGACTCTCGGAGTCTGTCACATCCTCCATTGAGAAGCTCAACTCACCTGCCGAAATAGAGGGCAGCAAGAAGCCTGCCTCGCATGATGAGGAAGAGACAGAACCGGCACAGAACGGCGAGAATGGCGAGAATAGCGACCCGGCGAAACCAGAATCCGAAAGTACCCAATCCGACGATGCCGATGCTATCAAGGACCGGAGGATCCAGCTTTATTTCGACACCGTATACCTGAATGATGCATTTGCGATTCGAGACTCTGAGCGCAGCCAATTGGCAGACGTGTTGGATACACTTCGCAGCAGCCTCGACTTGCCTGAAAAGGCAACAAAGAAACTGGAGAATGCTGCGCACGAGTACTGGAAACGGACTCAGTTATTATTTGGGCTCTTGACTGTGGGAGCTGATCACTAAGCAGGCTGCCATTAGCAAGCATGAAACAATGTATATAAATCATAAGCATATCATCATCGGACAATGCAGTTCATACCACCTTCACACCTCGTGTGACCGGCCAATGAGCGCGCGTATGTATAAACTTCCTGATGGGGCCTAGCGGCCGCGGGGGTTACTCACCGCCCACGTCACGTTTCCGGCGGTGACGCCGACTTGGCCGCGGGAAAACGAGATGCGTTCATCGTTCATCTCCCTCTTCTCTCCTGACCGGCTGCCTTGTCTTGTCCTCGTTCCTTCTCCCTCATCTCCCCTCAATCTCCTGTCAACGCGGCAACCATGGCGGCCCCAAGGCTTCCGTTCCTTTACCCAAACCTGATGCGCGCAGTTCGATCCTGCGAACCCCATACCTACCGCTCTCTTCGCCTTACATCCCGCAACCAGCACGCTCCCTTCCACACCAGTCCACGACGCACTCAAGAAACCTATCATCGACGATACGGGCCTGCTGCAGAAGCAAACCTACCACCGCCCTCTAAACCGAAAGACGAACCACCTCGTCAACAGTCCACCAATACCCCATCCGAGAAAGACAATGACAGCAACGCTGCTTCGTCTCCGAATCAAGCCCCACCAGCGCAATCACAGCCAAAGGACACCGAAACCACCTCAGAGGCCTCATCACAGTCGCAACAAGACAAATTAGCCTCCGCGGATACCGAACTGCTAGACGAGGAGAAATCCGCACACGAACAAGAGCCCCGTGAAGACTCCGAACCCATACTCGATGCCCGTGATGCCGATGAGGTCAACGCTATATCCAACGAAAGACCCACGGAGGAATCCATCCATCTCCATCACCCACTCAACCAGAATCCTCTAGAGGGCGTCCTTCACATGCCATCTCCTTCCTCCTACCTGACCACAACCGGCGGGCCCGCCTCAGAAAACAACCACCCGAATCTCGCCCCAGCCCCTTACGTTCATCACTTCGACACATTCTCGCTCGTTCGCGACCTCTCCACAGGTGGATTCTCCGAAGAACAGTCGGTCACCATCATGAAGGCAGTCCGGACCATCCTACACAGTAACCTCGATCTTGCACGCCAAAGCCTGACCTCCAAGTCAGACGTTGAGAACGAATCCTACCTTTTCAAAGCGGCTTGCTCGGAACTCCAATCCTCCTTGCAGACCGCTAGAAACTCCGAAATGCAGCGACAGCGGACATCCCGAACACAACTACAGCACGAGTCCGACATCCTATCTCAACGCTTGAACCAGGAACTGGCAGGTCTGAAAGACGACATCAAGGGAATGTTCAACGACCACAAGATGACGACCCGCGAACAACAGCGGAGCATCGACACCTCCGTACAAGAACTCAATTACAAAATCACTGTCTCCTTGAACAGTGACGGCAAGAGCGAAATCGAGGGTCTGCGCTGGATTTTAACAAGGAGAGCTGCTATGGCCGTCGCCACTAGTGCCTGTGAGTCACATTCTATACCCTCCTTACACTCCGCCTCAAGTTCAATACTAATGTCGTACAGTCATGATCATCTGCTTCCTGAAATACTACTCCGTTCGCAAGGCGCAGGAGAGCGCGGACAAGAAAAAGAAAGAACAAGAACTCCCAACCAAGGGCGGAACTAAAGAGACCGGAGTAGCAGCAGCTGTCGTCGCCGCCCAGGATCCTCTCCGGCCCAAGTCGGCGCCAGTCCCTGGGGTTCATCTCGGAGAGTCCCTTGGCTGAGCTTTCATCACCCTCCTTTCATACATTCTCATATCAAATATTCTTGCCGACTGTACAACAACCAAATCATCTATGTCCTACCTATCTTGTATATCATTCATTCCCATACCAGCTATAGATCTTCTTATATTGTTTTCTTAGCCGCACATTCACATTGATTTATCTCCCTCCTGTTTGGTTGGTGAGACATCTCGATACCCCCATGCATCTATTTGTCTTGACATCCTCTCTTTTTCTTTCAATTCTCTACTCTATTTCCTTGATGGAAACGATTGCAACATATAGACGAGTTCCATCATCGTTCATTATCCTTGTCATGTCAACATTCCTCATTGTACCTATACCTATACTTCTCTATAATCTTTAAAACAATAACTCTATATATGCAAATAGTAGTATGGAACATGTACCTCATAAACGCAACGCTCGCCGTCATGACCTGTGCACGGGACCCTTTCCTTCCAGGGACTAGCCATTCATCCCTGCGTTGTCGTCATCATCACACCTCGTGCCATGCATGCATGATAGGACATGTCATCCGGCAGGAGCCAGAGACACTCACGTCCTGTCCAATTAAACTTATACCGGGGTGGTTTGTAACATGAGCAAAAAGATGAACACGTAATAAAAGACAAGAAAGGGTAAAGAGGAAAACATGATAAGAAGAAAGCAACGACGCAAAGAATACAAAAATAGTATACTAAAAGTCAAACCTCAGCGCAATACTAGGCATGGCTTGCTGTTCACTGCTGGACTGCGTGCTCTCGCGGGAATGTTTGGTGGCTCCCGAACCGACTTCCGCACTGCGGAGGATTTCCTCGAGTCGTGTCTTCTGGTCCGGACTCATGGTAGCTACGAGCGCTCGGAATACGAGCTGATTGGCCTTGGCCAGTTCCAGCAGATGAACGGCGGTTTCCTGGTAGACGGCCTGTCCGTCACGCTTCGCGCGAGAAAGTAGCGTCGACATGATTAGGGAGATGGCGGCAGGCATCTCGTTTGCAGGGAAAACTGCATTGCTGACACATGCGACGAGCGTGCGCGCAATGACGGTCTTGGAGTTCTCGGGGTCGCTGGGGACGTCGCCATTGTCTGTGGGACAGCCGACGTAGAAGGCAATGAGTCGGGGTAACAGGTAGCGGGCGATGACTTCGCTGGTAGGTGATCTCGGATTGGAGGTCAGGAGAATGGAGCGAATGCAACCGGCGGCTACGTTGGCAAGACCGACATCCTGAAGACAGTCTAGGAGTTCATCCAGAACTCGGAAAATCACAGGATCTTGAGGTGGAATAATGTGTCCGCCGCTCGTTAGTAGAATGGCAATGGCGAGGAGAGTGTTCTTCGCGCAGGGGAGGGAGGACTCGGACTCTCGTCGTTGCGCAAAAGTCAGGGTAGTGAGGAACCGTGTAAGACAACCACGCAACTGGCGAGAGACAACGCTAAGATTCTCTGGGTGTTCTGGACTGACTTCGGGGGAGTTCGCTACGCTGCTGATGAAGTGTTTGAAAGTCGGAAGCGCCTGGGGAACAACCTCTGCCTGGCACAGCCCTGTCGCCAGGATAGTGCTGAAGATGTGTAGAATGCATGCGTTGAGGTCATTGCGGATAATTGAGGGGAAAATCGAGGCGACATTAACCAGCGATGAGAGCGCAAGCCGGATGAGTGACAAAGCATCATCCGATCCAACGTTGAATCGTGCAAGAGGTGTGGACTCGCGAAGATTAGGCAGGAGCCCTGCGAGCACGAGAATTATGCTCCTTGTTAGCTCGAAAAGCTGTTCGATGTCATCGGACAGATGATCGTCTCGGCCCTCGCTGTCCTTGGCGGAAGGATGGTCCAAAGACAGGTTTCGTGCGATCTCCACGATGACATTTTGAATGGGGGTTGTTTCGGTCAACGCGAGACGGTCCAGAGAGTCCATAGTCTCCGAAAAAATTGCATCTTGGTAGATCGCATTACCCGAGATGACTGGCCTCAAGATTCTCTTAAGTGCCTGAAGAATCTCCAATCTCTGGGGTGGGGTTGTAGACTGGTCAACGAGAGCTTCAAATGCCAGACCAAAGAGAACGAAAAAGAATGCAACAGGCTCATCACGATAGTTGATGTTGTCACCCTTGCCCTTTGGCTCATCGCTAGATTTCTGCTCGTCATTCTTTTGTGTCTTCTCAGATTCTTCCAACTCCGACTTGCCGTCCAATGCGTCAAAGACAAAATCGATGTCCTTTTCGACCAGACCAGCAATAGCGTCGACAAGGTTCAACCAGGAATCTTGGTAAAACTGTAACTATGGTCAACATCTTGACTAGTAAGTTCGTCTGCCAGGATTGTCCTACCTTCAAGAGAGTCTCTCGATTCAAAGCCGCGTACACCTCGTCCAAATCCCCGCTCAAAGGGCCAGTACCTAAGCTGCCTGAGATATCCGGCTCGAAACGCAGCCGAGCATATTCCTGGAGAGAAGACAACCATAGCGGAGTGAGCTTCGTGAGATACGGTTGAACCACTTGGTTCAGGTAGTCTTGCTCAATACTGGCAATCTGCAGCCGTGCCCAGGCGGAATACAAAGCCATCTTGACCATGACCCTAGCATTCGGGTTAAGACCTTTGAGGTCGCCAATCTCGGTGGTGTCGAGGTTTTCTGGCGATTGTTAGCTAAATTCCACTGCAAAATCACATAGCACTTACTAGAAAAGTTCTCAAGGCCAAGAACCAGGAGCTTTAGGATTCTACCCATTCGATCAACATTTGTCACGATTCCAGTAGCAATGAATGTTGCAGAGACATTGATAGCCTCTGATGCCAATTCCGCAGACGAGTCGGCAGCAAACGCAGGGGTCAGAGCCGATCCGATCTGTGCTTGGTACTGTTCCAGAAGCGACGCCTCGGTGAAGTCTGGATCGGGTGTCTTGCCAAACATCTGATAGAGTTATTAGCTCAGAGCGAGAGAATTTCACCATGCACAAGGCCAACGTACCTTGAGAACTTGATCAATAATCCGCAGTCCCCAGACTCGAAGTTCAATTACATTGGCAGTAGATGCTGAGAAAGCCATTCGGACGATATCTCCAACCTTCTGCTGCAGCGCAAGCTCGGCAGGGATGGTCTGATCGGGCAGAATTGCCTCTTGTACAAGTGCCAAAAGCTCGCTAAGACAGCTCATGACGAAATTCCGGGTCTGCCACTTGAGAAGCTCCTGACCAGAGACAGCGCCATTTGCCTCTTCTGTCTGACCAGCACCCGCAATTGCGGACGCAAACCCTGCAACTTCATCATCTGGCATGTCATTTCCAGCAGGTCTGATTGCAGATGTTAATGGGATATCTTCGACCTTAACACGAGTCTTGGTCAGCGTGTTGTGGCAGCGCTGTATCCATAACACCGTCTCCACGAGGGCCGTCTGTTGCAGCCAATCCTGGATCATGCTTCTGAGTATTGGGCAGTCTGGAGTATCATCGAATGCAAGCCAGATTTCCTCTTCGAGGGTCGGAGTGGCAGTGCGGAGCACAGCTCCGGCGTCACGCTTCATGAGATTACTCAACCCCCGAATAGCCACATCTCTCATCAATGGATTGCCAGCGCTGAGCTCATTCTGCAAGCGCTTTACGTATCCAGAAAAGTCAACGTAGCCCGGCGCATACAGGGAGAGATGATCCAAGCATTTAGAGCTTTCAGTGACTAGAGCAGAGCTGTCCTCTAGCTGGAATTGACGAAGGAGAGTAAGAATGAGGTTTCGTGTTTTAGCAATGTCCTGAAGATCCGGTCCGAGAACATTGATAAGGGAGTCAACACAGCGACTGATCACGACAGGGGTGAGGAAGGACATTTCGATGTTGGAGGTCGCTAGGGCTGCCGCCTCTTCATTGTGAGTGTCCGCGTTGTATAGCTGGGCCAGCATTCCGAGGGAGCTTGATACGAAGGGCGAAAAGGTCAGTCCGGCAGAGTTGGCAACTCTTTCGAGACCACCAAGAGCCCAGAAGTGGACGACAGGATGAGGGTCGCTACACAGGGACATCAAAACGCCCACGATGGTCTTAAGATGCAGACCAGCTGCCATACCACCAACTTGGGAATGAATGCAACCCAGGGCAGCAGCACAGCCAGCACGGGTATTGGGCTCACGGTTCTCCACAATAGTGTCGACCAGCCAGTTGATCTGTGTATTGGTGAAAGCGGTCCCAGAGCTCTCACAGAGACGTCCGAGTGCCTCAACTCCGATTGTCCGGACAGTCAGATCGGCATCGGTGACGAATTTCTGCGTCAATTAGCTTTCTGTTATAGTTCTATCTATCATAGCTCTGCCAATAACAAGCCTTACCTGAACAAGTTCCTGCAACACCTTATCAGTTGCAGGATTGAGCTTTCCAGATGTGAAACCAGTCTCTTTCACGGAGACCTTCAGAGCATGCAATAGTGCCACAGCAATATTGACGACCATGGCAGCCTTGCGCCCGGGATTACGCTGAAGGCTAGTGGATGAGAGGAAGGTTGCGATTTGTTCTACGCTACCTTCCTGGACCCTTGGTGTGTGCAAGGGGATCGCGACAGAGAAGAGCTCAATGGCAGCATTCACAACACCCGTGGAATGAGGATCGGCCAGAGAAGAATCTTCTTCCCTCCTCGAGTACAAAAGCAAAGAATCATGTTCGCTTGCTTGGCATATAGGAAAAGTCAACTGCAAAGATGTCAGTCCTGCTACATATAATATGAGAGAAATGCAGATAACTCACAGCTTCATCCACAGCCTGATCCGCTGAATCAACGGCCGACCAAGCAGGTCCGTTATCGGTACCGTGCTTGCCAGTGAGAGTCACACGCACGTACTCTCTCGCCAGGCCTGTCATTCCGAAGCCATAATTATCACATAAATCCCACAAAGTCTCGAACTGCGCGGTAGATGCCGCAATTGAACTTTCCAATGGACCAGCCTGGGCCGCATCGGGGTCAGCAAACGAGGAGATGGCCAAGCTCAATAGACTAGACTGAGAGATGACATCGGCATGGCTAACAGGATGAACCCGGAGTAGCTTAGTAAAGCACTGCAGAACACGGCGCCGGACCATAGTTTCGATATCATGAAGTTGCAATGATGGGTGAAGTCGCTGTGACAGTTCGTTCGCAGTCTTTTGTCTGGGCAGATCGTCCAGAAATTCAACTGTGTTTTGAAGCATTATGGCGATTCTCTTCGCGCCGTCGGCAGTTATTAGTCTGCTGTTGAACTCCATGAACACCAACAACGAACTCAAAGCACATTCCCTCACATGCGCAAGGAAGCTCAATTCCAGTATACCGCGTTTGCCAGAGTTTTCTTGACTCAGGTGTTTGGGAAGCGCATTCTTCCATAGTAGCGATAATTGAGAGAGATGAATCTTCACGAAACTAGGGCCAAGTGGCATCAACCCTCCGATTAGGATCCAAGCAACTTGAATCTGTGTACTGGCGGCACGTAGTTCCGAGTTGCTACTAGTCTTCAGGAGATCGGTCGCCTGAGTGAATACACGCGAGAACACCTCTACTGAACCGTAAAGAGGCTGCAGCCGGGATGTGCTTAGCATAGCAGAGAGTCCATTGGCATAACCGATGCAGCGACGCGGCGACTGTCTGGGGGTTGACAACTGTCCCACTTCTCGGTTCAGGCTGTTCAGGCAAATCGTGACACAGGACAACAACTGGTGCGGGCACGCAAGAACGAAGTTGCGTAAGCATTGAGCTGTATGAATCTGGACAGTATAGCTGGGATGCGGTAGCACTTGGAGCAGAGCCTCGCGACACGGTTCGGCCAGGGTACCGAAAGCAGAACCAAGCGACTCAATCAGAGAAGACAGCGCACTCAAGGTGCTCGTGAGGGAATGTTTGCTCGGCTCACGGCGTTCCTGGATTACTTGAGGATAATCCTTGAGAACATCATTGATTAGCCACTTGGCCGCATTGAGCTGACTAGTCTCCCGGAGTGATTCGCGGCCAACAGTATCCTCAAGAATACTCTTGACATACTTTCTGGTCATAAGAAGTCTGAATCGGTTGTATGTGACCGTGGGGTGGTTCAGAATATCAAAAAGCAGATGATTCGCGATTTGACCGTAACGTTCCTCAATGATCTTATGCCCAAGGATCCGCAAAACATGCTTGTAGCAGATGGCAATACCTGCGCGGGCTCGGTTGGAAGTTGTGCTCCGTAAATACTGCGCAGACAGCTGACGAAGAAGGTCAGGAAGGAGGAAGAACAAACGCGGCTCGGCCTTCTTGGGAGCAGAGGACTCTGAGATTTCGGCCTCTTCTTCATCCTCTCCAGGTTTAGCAGTCGGCTTCTTTGATAGTCTCTTTGCTTTCTTCGACTTCGGGACCGAGATGATCGGGGTATCGGTAGCATGCAACTTAGCCAGCGCACGAGCCAAGCAGGCCGCGGCCGCGTGTCTGACCGGGGCCACTGGGCTGTCAATGACTTTCCATACCAAGGTCTTCAGGTGGTCGAAATCGTTCGTATTGTCAAAGTATGGTGTCGTGTTTACTAACTGCTCCAGGCAGCGACAGGCATGCACTTGAACAAAGGTTGACTTGTCCCCGGTTGCGGCATTGCGAGCTTGTTTCCAGATGTCGCGCGCAGTTCCTTCGTCCACGGGAACTCCAGTGCCAACCACCACCTTTCGCAGGGCGGCAAAGGTTGACCCACGACATCCAGTATGGTTGCTAGACGCTTTAAGCAGTTTGAGCAAGCTTGCAACGACAACGCCTGATTGCGCAAAGACACTTTCTCCGGCGACCGCAAAGACCTCGCCCATACAATGGGCCACAGCGAACCTAGTCTTCAGTTCCGCATCGCTCTTGCCGGTATTAAGAAGCCCTAGTAGGTCGGTAACAGTCTCAAACAGTATGCCACGATCACCCTTGCTGAATATCGCACCGAAACACCGGCCCAGGTTATTGCGGATGACTCGCGTGATGGTCGGCGACGAAAGCGTGAGTATCTTGAACAATTCCTTTTTCAAGAACTTTTGCTGCGACGATACTTGAGCCTTATCGAGGCCGGAGATGTGTTGAACCAGATCGGAGGTGAAGGTGAGGAGGTACAGGTCCTGTTGTTCGGAGGGAAGCGCATGGAGCTTGGTGATATCAAGCTCCGCTCGGGGGACCGCATGGTTGTCGGAGTTAGTAGACGTAGCGTTTTCCGATGAAGACATTGGGATCGACTATGGCGACTAAAGGGTCACCCATAGGGTTCCCTTTCACAAGGAATGAACAGAGGTGAGATGCGAAAGGGTGAACACGATGTGACCACAATCTGGTGTGACAGGTCGGCCAGACTTTCTATGGGATGGAGATGGGATGGATCTCCCCCCCTTTAAGCGGGCACTTGGCCTCAACCTCCGTCCGGGGGCGGTCGCGGAGAAACTGTTGCACCGGCCCCGCTATCAGATCGCGATTCTAGACTCTTTTTCAGGGACTGACGCGCTTGCGGGGATGCTCTATCGAAGCTTTCTGCAATGACGACGATCGTATGCAAACGCCTGGTGCAGCAGCGGGTTGCCCGCGCGAATTGGGTGGTGAGCGATGGTTGCCGTACCCTCACCACCAGCGCTCCGTGGCTTGCAGGTCACAATCGATGGTCTCAGATCAAACATGACAAGGCCAAGAATGACAAGGCCAAAAGCAAGGAACGCCAGCTTATCGGCAAGGAAATCAGCAGTGCGACTCAGAGTATGTACTTGAAGAGTTTCGGCAATCAATTCCACGTCATTTCTTGGTATTGATCTCAAGCAGTGTGGGGTCCCGATCCTAAATTCAACCCGCGCCTTACCCTCGCCCTCTCGAATGCAAAGCGAGCAGGAATCCCTAAGACCGTGATCGAAGCGGCAGTTGCTCGGGGACAAGGCATAAGTGTCACCGGTGAAGCTCTGGAGCAGGTCACGGTCGAGGCTATTCTCCCGCATTCGGTTGCAGCAGTCCTCGAGTGTCTGACCGATCAAAAAGCCCGCGTACTGCAAGACGTTCGACATGCTATCAAAGATGCAGGGGGCATCGTCACACCTACTACATACCTCTTCGAAAAGAAAGGCAGGATCATCTTCGAGAAGAAGGATGGGGTGGATCCCGACAACTATATAGACCAGGCTATCGAAGCAGGTGCGACGGACATCACGGCGGATGAACAAGGCCGGCTCCTTGTCTTCACAGAACCAACAGAAACAAAGAGTGTAGGCGAAGCCCTCAGCAAAATGATTGGCATTCCAATTGAGGAGCTGGATATCATATGGGATCCCAACCAAGACACAATAGTCGACCTCAAGGATGAGGCGCAAGTCGCAGAAATGGAAGATATCATCAGTGACCTTCGAGAAGAGCCGAGTCTGCGAGACATCTACCTGAACACGGTTCAGCGCTTTTGATGATTTTTCGATTCTGGCGTTCGATGCCTTTCACGGCTACAGCCTGGGCCTTCTCATCCTTTTACCTTACAGTGTACACTAGCTCGGAACTGGCGGCTCGGCGAGCCCTTTCTGTACTATATAACTACGAACTATGATAACTCTGGTGTATGGATTTCGAATTCTTCCAAGAAGAAAGCATAAGTGGGCTTACTTCTGATATCACCTCTACTCTTTCCGCAAAGCCTTCATCGTGCTCCGCATCAAGTTACCAATTCCAACGCTTCCTGTCGCGTCAAGCCAGTCAAGCATCCGCACTCTATACTCCTGCCACGCCATCTTCATACCTCCTTCTTTCTCTAGCGCACTCAGTGCCTTTTGCGTCACTGGCTTCATCAGCTTGGGCTGCTCGTCGCCAATGTTGTTCTCCTCTTCGATGTCAGAGAAGCAGGCCGCAGACAAGTTGCACAGTGCCACATGGTGACTGAGAGAGAAGACCGAGGAGATTGTGTAGACGAAAGAGGAATCGCGCTTTCTTTCCTTCTCATTGTACTCACGAATGAATCGCGTCAGCGCAGCAACGGTGGGGGCCGGTATTAGACAGCCCACAGCGTTGGGGTCTTCGGAGTTGAGACCTCGGTTCCGCCAGATCAGGTTACAGATGTCCATGATATAGCCATTGAATTGACCCACGAGTTCTGTCGGATAGAGCGAGTCTTGAGAGTTTGGTACCCGGAGAACCTGAGAGGTGAGGGAAGCCTCAAAGGACGACTTGTAGCTGGCAAGCACTGAGCACATGATGGAGATGACTGAGTTGATGGGCGTGAAGGCAAGTGTATAAACTGTAGGAGCTAGCGGGACAGTAAGTCGAATGCTCCCATTCGTGGATGCGTGTGTGAAAAGTTCGGCTAGGGTACAGTAGAAGTCCAAGATGGACAATGTGGCGGGCTTGTGTTTCTCATGTTGGGCATCTGTGAGATCCGGCATTGAGGTCAAGCACTCTAACGTCGATAAGGCTAGAAGTTCTGCGTGCGATATCAGGCGGCCCAATGGTTTGAATGCCTCTGTAGTCTGTGAATTGGTCCTCAACTGGATTCCCCATTGACGGATCAAGGCCGAATAGAAATCAAGCAGAGATGTTCTTGATGAAATGGCTCCGTTGAGGAGTGCTCTCTCCGATGGTGTCAAGAAATCCCTGCTCAGAGTATCGAAGTCAAGAACGGGAAGATACACGAGAAGCCCAAGTATCTGCTCTCTGTTGTCTTCGCCATTCCAGAAGATGAGATACTTTTTGAGAAACGATGTGAAAGCGTCCGGTATTTCCTGTACCCATGTAAGCCACCAAGGTAGGTCAGTAGTGACTGAAGGGGAATACCTTCGTGTATTGCGCATATTCAGCCGCCAAAGCCAATATGTAGCCCAAGCTCTCATGGTCTTCTACGTCATTTGCCCGCGCGATTTCCAATTGGTCATTTAAGAACGTTCTGAGCCAGTCATTCAACCGGCGATCTGCAGCCTCAGAACGAGCCAGAAAAAGGTACTTCTGCGCTAGGTTATTCCCCAGCATGGATATGATCTGGTTAGGTAATTCTATCTTGTCAATCTTGTCAACAAGATGTTCAACACCACGCAGTTCTTCCAAGGAAGTGTGGCTATAAGACACCCTTGATGTCTTCACATCAGGAACAATGGCCTCTACCTTGCTTCTCTTTGCTAGACCGCGATGTACGACCTGGAACGTCGATGGCTGCACTGCCTGCAACTTTTCAAGGTGGGTATCCTGAATTTCCCTGACATGAGCGGTCCATTCAGGGTCCGGATGTTTGAAGAAGGATGCCTTTCTTCCCGTAAAGCCGAGGTCACCAACAATAACATCAGGACAGTAGTTTTTGAACACATTAAGTAGAATCAAGAGCTCTTTCTCTTCACCACCAGAAAGGCTGACTAGCTCCATAAGAGCTTGGATACGAAAGGGCTTGACATGCTTGCGCCTCGTGATGAACGAAAGCAATTGGCACAGAGGCTTGCGTAGACTGATCATGTCCAGATAGTTGAACAGCACAGCATATAGTTTTCCCAGATGAGACTTGTCATCGAGGTAATCGTATACAAGAATCAGCCATCGCACAAGCAGAGCCTGGGTCGCAGGACTGGGCTTTGTTTTGGCAGGACCAAGACAGCACACAACTCGTGTGATTAGTTTGGAGGATACCCTCTCCAGTGGGTACAAGTTCTTGACTAGTGTGGTAACTGTGCCTTGGTCAAGAGCATTGTGCGTCGTGAGGAGCTTCAGCAAGCGTTCGAGGGCAGCTTGCGGTATGCCACTCGCGTACGCGTGGGTTGCTATTGTTTTGGCCAACTGGCCAGCATCCGTATATCGTTGTTTTGGAGGCACGAAAGCAACTGGGTATACATTAATGATGCAAATCTTTCTATAATCATACCTTGTTCACTGGATTTACCTGCTTCAAGGTGCTTGATCGCATCTTCAAGGCTACTGGGCCTGACTTCGGTGTCTAGTATCACCATCAGCAAACCCGATCCTGTGCAAAGCAAGCTTGACAAACCTCTTTCGGAGTCAGATGACATGTCGGTTTTGCAATAGCTTATCAATATTATATAGCAATTGATATGTTTTCTCCGTCCTTCTCCTCGAATGACGCCGTGCTTGACTCTTAAGTGTTTCGCACCACCAGGCGCATCACGCGCAAAAGCAGGACTGTCGCACTGAGTAAACAGCTCGCTAGGCTTAATACCATAAAGCGCCTGACAATTTTCTAACTCGGCGCGAGGGATACAGTACGTGGATGTTGGAATCGTTGTTTGCCGCGGTAAGTGCTTTCAACATGTATCTCCGTCGCGTGGAACTGTTTGAGTTAATCGCGGGAAATGGAGCCTGACTGAGAGCGCAACTTTACCATTTCGGGTGTCCAACAACACAACCACTTGCAGGCCGAATGCCAGCGTCGCGGATTGTAACTGCGAACACCATGGACACTTCACAATTATCTCAACTTTTGGCCTCGTGAGACCTTGTTCTGGTCCGTACAGATGTCTTTACATTAATGCTTCTCCAAGGCGCCTTAGTCGCAGCTAGTTGATGGGTGATAGCCGCCTACAGTCAATATCTTTAAATTCATATGCGCTAAACTGGACTTCTGACGCCCTTCTTTGGGTGGCAGAGGAATTAGTTTACTTTATACTGAAAATCTCGATCTAGATGATCTTGAGCTGTATACAGCTCCTCATTATGCGATTGGTAGTAATGGACATCGTGGGGGGAACAAAAAGCTATGGCCCACATATGTCTCCAACATCTCAACTATGGACAGTAACTTGGGAATGCTTCTAGAATAAAGATTGAGCCAATTACGTCTACTTCCTCTTCCTAGCCGGCTGCTTAGAGCTTGCCTTTCCGGAGGCAGTCGCTGTCTCCTTGGCCTTGGGCTCCTCAGCCGGTGTGGGCTCCTCTTCCTCCTCATCACTGTCGCCTCCCTGACCGAACTCGTTGACACGCTTGTAATCAACCTTGTACTTCCAGCCCTGGTAGAGCCAGATAAAGAAGATAATATCATCCCGGAAGGTTGCCAATCTGTGGAGCCAAGGCATCTTAACGGTGAAAGCGAAAAGGTCATCGATGAAGGTGTTGAGGAACTTGTACGTTAATGCCTTTCCGGGCATATGAGCGACAGACTATAATAGTGGGTTAGCAAGGCCATTACAAGAGCGGGTACAAGGAGGACGGAAACATACCTTCAGTCGATAGTTGATGTACAAACTAGGCACCATCATCAGGAAGCCGTAGGCGTAGACACTGCCAACAAGCGTCTCGATGACATAGGAGTACCACGACTTGTGCGTGTTGTAGATCAAGCTGTACACAGCATACGCGGCCAAGAGCGGGACGGCAATAATATACAGCCAGCGGAATGCGATCTCATCATACTCTTTGGTCTTCTGCTCCGTCTCGCTGAGCTTGTGTTTGTCCTCAAAGACAATAACATAAGGCAGGAATGAGAAGAACGATCCAGCCGGCGGAGGACGCAAGCGCACGTCTACAGTCTTGGTGATCTTCCAGGCTTCTAGCAAGATACCGAAACCTTGACTTGCGAGGATCATCCACGAAGTGTTCTCACTGTTGTCCATCAAGTAGAGGAAAATGACCGCCTGCATGAAGACGTTCGCCAGGATGGTACGAACGGAGGTACCGACAACATCCTTCTTCTTGCGCCAGTGAGACTATTCATAGTACATACCCATTAGCGTTTGAAACAAAAGGGCTCCGAAAGGGGGACGAAGTGATAAGCTTACAATATCGTTCTTGAAGGCCAGAGTTTCGAAGACCATATGGAGAATCGTAACCACACCAGTTGTGCAGAGCAGGTAGATGTTCGTGTCGAGCAGGACTTCTTTAACCATTTCAAACTCAGTGCCGTCGCCGCCACCGGGTGTCTGACCACCGAAAGCCGCCTGTTTGGCATTTGCCTTTGCATTCTCATCAACACTAGCCATCATGCTGAACTTCCAGTTCTGCAAGTTGTTAAGAGTGATACGCATAGGAACGGTCTCAACGGTCGAGTTGAGCTCCATCATGTGGCTTCTGAGCTGCCAAAAGGTGTTCAGGAACACAATCGGATAGTACCAGCCATTCTGCCCGGTGGCATCCCGCGCGCCAGTCGTTTCGAGCTGCATATGCTGTCTAACAGCGGGGTGAACCTGACGGTACTTCTGTGCACCGGAGTCAGGAACAACAGACACGGTGAAGTTCGGGTGGTAGTATGACGCAATGGAGACATCGGGAGTGCCATCATCCTCTTCTTCCTGGGTTTCCTCTGACGAAGCCAGCAGGTTCTTCAACTTCTTCACCTTCTTCTTAGGGAGGTACTGGTTCAAGGGGCGGAAGAAATGAACGGCACTATCGGTGCTATAATCCTTGGCGGTAGGGTCGAGCTGGTGTCCGGTGAGTCCGACAAAGAAATGCGCCCAGAGAGTTCCATTGCGTTGAACCTCCTTGGGGATCTTGATGGTCGTATCAATTTCTCTAGTGTCACTGTAGTTTCCGATAGTAAAGTTCTTTTCCTCCAGAACGAGCGAATCCGATGGGAAAGACTTGAATCCAGGAACAATAATCGAAGGCGAAACGTAGATATTCAGGTCCAAGGCACTATCGGAGGGCCAAATCGGGGTAACGAGATCAGGGACGGGACTGTAGTTGGACACTTCGCTGCGAGGCGGACGCGTGTTGAAAGAAGGCACATCACTAGGCTTCGCTCCTGAGCCGGCGTTGTTCTTTGACCCAAAGAACTGGCTCATCACGAACTGCGCCAACAAGAAGAAAGCCAGGCCCTGAAGGGCACCCTTGAAGCCGGACTAAAGCAAGTAAAAGCGACTGTCAGCTAACCCATCGCATCCAGTACCAAACAAAAGCAGATTGAAGCATACGCACGCTTTGCTCCGGCTCCTCCCTGCGCTGACGTTGTTCCGGCATTGCGACCCGTTAATTGCAAACCTGGTCAGCAAAGATGGAAAAACGGGGGAGAGGGGGGAAGAAGAAGAGGAAGGAGGAAAAGAAAAGAGGCCACGAAGGAACACGAAGGCTAACGGCTGGTTGGTTGGTTCTGGCCCAGAAAAGGCGCGGCGTTTTGGCCCTTGGCGGGTCCCGGCGATAAGCCAGGCGGAAGTGGGAAGGGAAAGCATGTCATAAATCCCTCCTCCGCGGATTTCTCCACATCACCGATCTGCTACGAATCCGCCTAACTTGGAGAAGAAGCACTGAGTCGCGCAATGGGCATGTTAGCCTCATGAAGGTCGGTTTTCATCCCAATGGCGGACAATCAGCCCTCTCCCGATTACTCCCGCCCTCAGTTTCCTGCTCATAATGAGCCGCGGGTGTGGGTTATCACGGCCGGGGATTCCCCCATCGGCATCTCTGTGACGCGCCAGATTTTAATGCATGGCGACTATGCCCTGGTTGGACTGGCGCATTCGAACCTGGATCGCGATGAATGTCGTCGCGATATGTTCGATGCTTTTCTCGCAGAAATCGAAAGCAATGAGGGATGGGGGAAGCGATTCAAGGCGCTGCCTCTAGACATAAGGTGTGATTTGGATCTTGAACCCTCTCGACCATATGACATAGGCTTATAATCACCTTACAGAATGGTCGGCGAGTGCCAGGCCATAGTGGCGCAAGCAGTCGCTTCCTTTGGCAGAGTAGACGTTCTTCTATGCTGTACCAGCCAAGGTTAGCCTTCAGCAGCCTCCAAACCCACATCTTGCACATCGCTAAATGGCATCATAGCCCTCATCGGAACAGTGGAAGAGCTCTCGGCCTCACAGCAGACACTGAATCTCGTCCGAGACCAGTTTGAGAGCAACTACTTCGGACCACTCAACATCATAAAAGCAGCGCTGCCGCACATGCGAAGGCAAAAGGCAGGGCACATCACGATCCTCTCCGGCATCAGTAAGCACAACTCCTACCTCCCACATACATCCATACAGGATCTAACCAAACGAACAGCCGCTCACATAGGTACACCCGGACTGGGGATGTACTGCGCAGCCGGATGGGCTCTCGAAGGCTTCTGCGACGTAAGCCTCACCACATGCAATCCTCCATGCCAACCTTATCGCTAACCAATCCATCCACCAGAGTCTCGCATACGAGATCGCCCCATTCAACATAAAACTCACCATATTCCAATGCAGCATCGAGATCGGCATTCTCACAAACCTAGTGACCAGCGTTCCACCTATAGGACCCGTATACTCATCCGCAGCTAACCAGGCACCACTATTCCGCGGGATCATGAACCGACTCGTCTCACGTCTATCAAGCAACACGCAATCATCCGCAGAGTCAGCTAATGGATCGAACCAAGGGAACTCTATTGAAGACGGCCCATTCTCGGCCTCGGAGGTCATATCGACGTATCCCCCGCTCAGTTCGGCGCATATGGAGGTGCTGGTGAGTGAAACTGTCTATGCTATCACAGCTATCGCCGGCCACGAGAATCCCCCGTCACGACATATCGTGGGACAGGAGGGTGTGGCGAGTGTAAAGGAGAAGCTTAAGACGGTTAGTGAAGAGCTGGAGGACTTTATTCAGGCGAGCTTTGCTGTGGATTATGCTGCTGATGAGGCTGGTCGGTCGTCTAAGGACGAAGGTATGATTATGGGTATGGGTGCTGGTCATGAGGGATTTTAGTGGTAACGCATGATATATATGTATCTTGATGTGGTGTGGATAATTGATAGGTAATATTATGAATGAGGAGTCCGCTCATGTCTATCGTAGTGGTATCATGAGGGACATGTACTAACTATGTTGGCGACACCGCCATGATCTGAAGGAATGCACAAACCGGGAGAAAGTAAAGCATGGTAGTATGTTGGGCGCGTACATAGAAGGACCAGCCATTCTATTTACTTCCCAGCACGTTGGAACCAAGCCTGTCTCATCTCCCATAAGCTACCCATATCCTGATTATTCCGATACGCACGGAACTCTTTCCAAGCATTCCCGTTAGGAATGTCAGTAATACGACCGTCGACTTCTATAATCTTCGAGGCAAGTGAAGTAAGCCCCTGAATATTTTCGATCAATATCTCGTCCATATTGGCGTCGGGAGCGTCCGCAGGAGGTGTCTTCTGCGTCTCTCCTGTCGAATCCTGAGGGGCTTCGGGCACTGATACGGACGGTTTGTCTGATACTTCGCCCGCACTGTCCGGCTTCTCACTTGTTGCTGTGGAGATTTCTGCAACCTCTGCGGACGAAACGGCCTCTGCCGTTGTTGAAGGGCTGGCGGTTTCTGCTGCCGCTTCGATCTGATTTTCAGGTACCTCGCTAGATGATGCCGTTTGGTTATCGGCTTCTGGGGGTTGCGAACGCTGTCGTTTACAATCACCGTGTTCATCTTCACATTTGCGCTTCTTCGGGGAGACCGGCTGTGTCGGTTCGCTAGAATTCAATTGGACGTTAGAGCCGGTTTCAGTAGCAACGCTATCTTGCTGCTGGTCATTGGCTTCGGGAGGCTGCGAACGCTGTCGTTTGCAGTCCCCGTGTTCATCTTCACATTTGCGCTTCTTGGGAGAGACAGGCTCTGTCGTGGCGCTTGTGTTTAGTTGGACGTTAGAGTCGGTTTGAACAGCATCACTATCTTGCTGCCGATCACCAGCTTCCACATCGGCTTTTGTGCCATCTGCATGGCTTCGATTCTGCTTGCTCGAGCTCGAGACAACTGGAAGAAATACACGCTGTCCAGGAGGAATGACGAAGCTCAACCGCGCACCCTTAATGCCCACAATCTAGCGAGTTGTTAGCAAGTCTGACAAATTCGAAAAGTGATAAAGTCCCCCCATACCCTAGCTTCCTTCTCTACCAGAACTCTGTCGGCACCTTTGGAAAAGCATCGCGAGTACTTCCAGACATCACCCTCGCGAACAACATTATGGTCAATCAGCGTCTTCAACTTCACCTGGGAGCTTTGTCCTGCCAACAGTGTCTTATCCATCTTCTGTTTCTGTCCCCAAAACTCTTCGAACTCTTCCTCCTTGAACCTGTCAAACGCACCCGCGGCCCTCTCCTCCATGGCCAGTTCCGCCTGGCGCAACCATTCCGGATCATGAAACCCATTCTGGAGCTCCACTTGGAATTGTCGAATACCTTCGCGCCAGTTATTCGAGTAGCGTAGGAATTCCTGCGGAGGAGGGGGGATCTTCGCATCGGCATCATCCGTTGGCGGGTCAGGATGTACACTATCCGGGAGAAGTTTTATGATCTCTTGCTTTTCGCTCTCTTCGAGACAGTTCCAAGCTTTGGGGCTGGAAAGTAGGCCCTGTTCATTGTTGGTGATTAGCATGCCATTCCCGACATTGCGCCAGCACTATCGATAGTGCCATATCTAGTGATTCCAACATACCACTAAATCCGCATCAACCAACGGTGACTTCGTACTGGTCATCACCTTCTCCTCCTCCCATGGATCCTTCGCGGCTCTTCTAGGATTCCGCTTCGGTCTAGCATTGGTAGTAGTAGTAGATGGTGGCATCGCGGAGCTCGATTCGCCGGCATTACTCTGTTCAGCCGCATTCACAGAGCGAGAGGAGCGGCTTCTGAAACATTCTTAAGGTCAGCGCTCTTTCACTAAATCAGTGACGGCCTTCCTCAGCGGTCATTATATGAGACCTGTTCCACACACAAGAGGGAAAGAGGAGAACGCAAGCATTAGTTGGTTTATTCGTACCTTGTTGTTGGCTGCTGCTTCGCTGCTGAACTGCCGCAGTCGACCGCCTTGCGAGGGCGGGCCATTGTTCCGCGGGCCTGGATTGGAGATCTGGACAATACCCCGAAGTCACCAACTTACCACTGCGTCCACGGAAGGAGTGCTTAATTCGGTGATAAGACGGTAAATAAGTATCGCCACGATGGTTAGGTCAACACAGATTGCCAGAATTGATGGTAAGATGCTCTCCGGTGCTTGTTCAGGGGGAGGAAGAGTGAGGGGGGTAGCCAAGTGTGCCGTTTGCTGATGTTACGAGACAGGCTTGATGCTGGCGGCATCCGTGGATGATGAGCAGGTTAGTTTGGTTCAGGGCGCATTCACTGCACCATTGTTGCTTGATAGCTGACAATAGGGAATCTTGGTGTTCTTCTCTAGGCTGAAGTGGAGCTCTCTGAGATCAAGTCTCAGGCTAAGATGATCTTTCGCCGATTGAATCGCAATTCGGCGCCGCAAGCCAGTATTGAATCCGGTCAATTTAATCTACAGTATGTTTTGGTGTTTGAATCTTGTACGACGCAATACTACTCGGTGCGAGTTGGCTGACCACCGGAGTTAGCTATCTTATCAAGGATGATATCTGCTTCCTTTGCATATGCGATCACTCCTATCCGCGCAAGCTTGCGTTCACCTATCTGGCCGATCTCGCAACCGAGTTCACTACCACATATTCCCCGACACAATATCAATCGCCGACTCTGCGCCCATACGCCTTTGTGGAATTCGACACCTTCATTCAGCGCACCAAGAAGCTCTACCAGGATAGTCGCGCGTCGCAAAATCTCGACCGTCTGAACGATGAGCTCCGGGACGTGACAAAGGTGATGACCAAGAACATCGAGGACCTTCTATACAGAGGCGATAGTTTGGAGAGAATGGGTGAATTGTCGGGCCGTCTACGAGAAGACAGCAAGAAGTACAGAAAGGCCGCGGTACGGATCAATTGGGAGTTGTTGGTCAAGCAGGTAGGTTCTAAGTCTTGAGGCAACGGCAGACTTGTCGCTAACTTGTCGCAGTATGGTCCAGTCGCGGGTGTTGGGTTTATCTTTCTTTTCCTCATTTGGTGGCGCTTCTTTTAATTGCGGGCAAAACGGCTCCGAACTCGATACCCGCTAATATGATTGTATGCATAGATAATGTCTCTGGTGGTTGCAGGACACCATCCCCCTAAGCCCAGGACTTGAATCAGCTCGAACAAATATCTGGCAGAGCTGTTGGACTGTATATCTTAAGTCATCGCATAGTTGTAAGAGCTTGAACAGCGAATCCGTATCCTTTTATCGCACATGGCCCGTGTTGCAAATGACGTTTCCATAAGGAGAATCCGCAGACGGTCGAATGGTGCCTGGTGGCGTGTATGAGGGGCCTGGGTGACGAATAAATGGAGGCCAGTAAACCTAGATTTCATCTTCCTCTTCGTCAAAATCGTCCTCTTCACCCATGTCGTATAAGATGCGTCCTCCTTCACCAGGACCGTCGCCCTGCTGGGCATCGAAGTACGGCAGCACCACACCCTCCCGATCCCGTCTCTGTCGTTCGGTAAGGCGCAGTTCAAATGTTGATTCGGGTTCTTCTTCGCCTGCACCAGCGTCTGGCTCCTGTGGCGGGCGGTACAAGGGATGGTCGTCCAGCAACGTCACAATCTCCTTCAGGTATTGGGGAGGGTAACGAGAAGCGGGAGGAAGGAAGTACCATTCCAGAACGCCACGACCACTCTTTCTGCGGTGCTCCAGCTCAAGTACGATCCCCTCTGATGAGTCGTGGCCACTCGGTTTGTCTAGTCGGCCAAGGAGCACGCCATCTTGCTCTTCTTCAAGACCAAATACAGGCGCGGCCAAACTCCGGTCGCGTGCCGCTTTCTGCGCGAGAATATGCGAGAATGAATGGAGTGTGATGATTGTAGTTGCAAGGTACGTCAGCATCGAGAGGGGCGAAGGTGCGTAAGGCGAAAGAGCAGGTGGGCTGGGAACATCCTGATGGAAGTTTACCACGAGCGACACGTCCACCTTGGGAGCCGTGGGATTCGACGGGATCAGGAAGGAGCTGAGGAACTGTGATATATGGAACTGAGGGTCATTCTTTTTCGAGTGTAGAAGCGGGTTAATGGCGTCGATGAGAATGAGTCTCCCTTTGATATGTTAGCCGCTTCACGATACAAGCTCAGTGGAAGAAGCTCGGAATAGGCATACTTCGAGAAGGGCTGTTCGATGAGACGTTCTGGTAAGCAGCGCCGACTGCTCTTAGGATTTCCACAGGACTCTTCCGGCGAGCGGAGATGAATGCATCGACACCGTCTGGGGCTTTCAATGTTTCAAAGGCAAGGAGGGTAACATGGGTCCTAGAAAGCTGTTGCGACAGTTAGCCACATGGGCAAGGATGACAAAACAGGCCAATTGTTCAATGGCATGGAGGCCAATTATAAAAGCCTCTGTAACCGACTATCCACTGTACAAACAACTTTCACAATGCCTTAAGGGCAAATAGATTGCCTACCTTTGCACGTCGAATGTATTCTTTGGTCAGTGGGGTCGCGGGCTGCTCTAGTGAGTCCAAGACCAAAGTAAGCGGTGATGCAGTGTCCCTCAGGCTAAGAAGCTTTGAGATCAAGAGCAAATTATGGGTCTGTCTGTGAGAAGTGCTTGCGGGCGCCATAGTTGGAAGTTAGGTAAGGGCGACATGCAGCGGAAGATCGGGAATGGGAAAATTGAAGAAAATCGGAATCGGTTCGGCACAAAAGATTGCGGGGTCCATGAATCAATCGAGCTATGGAGGGGCGCCCAGGATTTCCAATGAGCGATCTCGCTGGCGTTTAAGCTCAGGGCTGTCGGCCCACCCGCATGATGTACATACTACAGCAGATAAATTATTCGGAGAATTTAGAGCGTTTGATGTCAAAAGATTTACAAGGAGATCAATTTATACTCCAATAAAATATAGTATGTTTCTACCAGAATGAATTCCAAATCTGATCTTCTCATTGTTTAGGAGAATTATGACCTGCTATTGAGATTAGGTAAACACATACCAATTTACCGCAGATATCGCATAAATCACAGGTGATATAATGTACTAAAAGTTCCCTCTTTGCCATAACCATAGGTGTCACTATAGACACTCTTACTGACTCATTGAATAGTATTATGATGATTCTTTCTTTAGTCATTGAGTTAATAGGGTCTATATGAACTTGCGGAGACCAGGCTACTGTGACGTAGTGTACTATCGATAGTACTACTAGCTGAGGTTAAAGCCCAAGACTCAGTAACTAGTAGTATCACTAGTCACACTCACCGTACTAGTAAATACTATATTAGTGCTGCGGATACTACTACTATTACTTGTAGTGTTGTCGGAATAAAGCTCTACGAGGCTTTCCCACTGTCTCAAACTAAGAATATACTTCACCGGATCACCAAGTTGGCCAGAGCGGCCACATGCTAATAATTGAAACCTGTCTCAGCTATCAGAATTACTTTCAAGTGAGAAATTACCCCCAAAATAGTATAAAGTCAGTTCAAGCTGTCATGTGAGACTTCCAAGGTGAGAGTTGTATCAACGAACCACTGGACCTACCTGGGAATTTGGTTATCGCATATCTCCGGCAACGATAAGCTGGCCGCATCAGTTCCCGGAACAACTTGGTTGTGTGTCTCAATCTCGCGCTTACTCCCCTCTTGTGAGTGAAACTCGCCAATCTATAGAATATCATAGCAACAAAATACTACAAACACTTTATCCATTTCTTTATTTATCTAGCGAATGGCCTGGGTCGCAGATCGGCGGTGGTTCAAGGCCATCGGACTAGCCGCGCAGTAGGTCGAAACCGGCTACCGTAATAATCTTCACGCCTTCAATCTCGGGACCTGACTTGCGGAGCACTTTTTCTCATTCTCAGTCAAGACTACAACCACTGCGTGGCGCGCTTATCTCTATCAATTGACATTGAAAATCAGGGAAGAAAGGGTAATGGACTGATTACTTTGGATATCTTTTTACCTGCCGCCACATCCCCTATCCCCCTTCCCTTTGAACCGCTCCTGCGGAATCACACGTGCACGAAGAAAACAACACTCCATCAGCACAACAAATCCCACAGATACCGGCCTCAAGATGACGGAACCACCAGCGAAACGTGCTCGCCGTGTCGATAGCTCAGCCATGTGGGACCAAGACGACCGGAGGACACGTTCACCCGAAGTAGAACCAGATTATACCAGAAGCCCTCGCCGGGAGCATATTGCGAAAGATGATGGACGACGCGATGGGCCTCGCGATGACCGGAGATATCGTTCTCGTTCCAGAGATAGGAGGGACAGGAGGCGAGAAAGAAGCCGGTCCAGGGATCGCCGTGACCGCGACCGCAGAGACAGAGACAGAGATGGACGGGGAATGAGGGACAGAGAAAGAAGTGTCAGTCGGGATAGGCACTATGATAGACGCGGTATGCCAAGATTTAAGATTAAAACCAAATCCCTCTGAACTACAGATGCTAACAACGCTTGAAGGCTACCCTTCGAAAGGAGACAGGTTCAGGTCGCGATCACCTATTCCGAACGGCAACAGGGACCGGTCGCGGACGCCGCCACCTCGCGGACCCCGGAATGACCGCAGGAACGATCGCAGAGATCATAGAGGGCAGACAAACGGTGCTACGGATGCGAAGTCGGGTGTGAACCGGCACAAAGATGAGATGGATGTGGACAGTGACGGTGCTGTGGGAGAAGACGATGTCGAGGCAATGATGCGCCGCAGCATGGGATTCACGAAATTCAGGAGCACGAAGAACACCAAGGTTCCCGGGAACGACATCTATGGCGTCCGCAAGGAGAAGAAGACGGAGTACAGACAGTACATGAATCGTGTCGGAGGATTCAACAGACCTCTCAGTCCCTCGAGGTGACCAAAAGCTTCTGTCTTCTGGCTACCTTCACGATATCATCGGCCGTCGCTTGCTCATTTTCTTAATTTTGCACTTTCCATTTATTCCACATCTCTAAATGTTTCTTTGTTGGGGCGATATCAATTTTCATGCATGGCTGGAGTCAAGATCTATGGAGGGCTTTTTCTTTTGTTGTCGCTCAACTGTTTTTTTCAAGCAAATAAGATACCTTTTAAAGCCTGTCTATATCCTTGCATTGGTTCTTAGTAGGTCGAATCAAGGCAGATGTAATATATCAGGATCCTCGGCACATGACCTCTGTGACGTATAGGCCCCTCTTTAAAAGACTTGCTTCCGACACCAATTCGACTCCCCGTCATTACTTTGAATTTCTCGCCATCTCGCCATCGTGGCTTCTCTGAGGGCTTTAGCATCAAGGATTGCGCCATACCACAAGATGTCAGCCTCCGGCGAACGTCGTGATATTGTGATCGTTGGTACGTGTGCGCCGCATGCGCATCCATCTACTTATCTCTATCTACCCCGCACAGCCCGGAATATGCGTGCTAATGGCTTTTCCCTTAAGGTGGTGGTATCATCGGATGCTGCTCAGCTTATTATTTGACCAGACATCCTTCTTTTGACCCTTCACGGCATTCGGTGACTCTCATTGAAGCATCCGACATCGCAGGAGGGGCGTCGGGCAAAGCAGGAGGCCTTCTGGCATTGTGGGCTTACCCGAGCAACATCGTCCCACTGAGTTACAAGTTGCATGCGGACTTGGCTAAGGAGCACAATGGCAAGGAGCGATGGGGTTATCGAGAAGTCAATTGCGGACAGCTCATGGCGAAGGGCCGTCCTCTCAGCGACAAGAAAGACGCCAGCGCAGGAGCAAGTGGGAGCTCGGTGTCTCTACAGAAGCGGAGCGCCGATGCCATGGGAAAATTGAAAGCTGCAAAGTTTCCCAAAGATCTAGATTGGTTTGAGCCTGAGGCTGTGAGAAGCTACACAAGCATGAGTGATCCCGGAGAGACTGCCCAGGTTCATCCTTATCTCTTCACGACTTCTATCGCTAAGCTTGCCGAAGAAAAGGGTGCAAAGATAATACTGGGCTCCGTTACCGGCATCGACTATTCCGGAGATGCGGTCCAGTCAGTATCGTATACTGACAAGAAGACGGGTGAATCGCACAGCATCTCAGCAACAGACATTGTTGTTGCTGCCGGTCCCTGGACGAGGTCGGTCTTGCCAGAAGCCCCTATCACGGCGACTCGCGCACACAGTGTTGTTATCCGGCCAGTTGAGCCAGTTAGCGCATACACTCTTTTCACCAGCATTGACCTCCCGGCCAATTTCGATCCGACGAAGCCTTCTCGACCTGATGAGGCCTCGCCGGAGATTTATGCTCGCCCAGACAATACAGTTTACGCATGTGGTGAAGGCGATCACGTCGTTCCGCTTCCGAAAACCAGCGCAGATGTGGAAGTAGATCAAGTGCGATGCCAGGATATCATCAACCAGGTCGGCAGCATCTCTGATCGACTCCGTGATGGCGAAGTCTTAGCCCGGCAGGCTTGTTATTTGCCTAATGTGGCTGCTGCACGCGGGGGTCCATTGATTGGTCATACTGGCACCAAGGGGCTATACCTTGCTGCTGGCCATACTTGCTGGGGCATACAAAACGCCCCGGGTACTGGCAAGCTGATCAGCGAATTCGTCTTCGATGGTGCAGCTAAAAGTGCGAAGATCGGTTCACTGGATCCAAGGAATTTCCTGTAGAATAGAAGCCTGTAGATAGTATTCTGCACGTCAAATGCATAAATTGCAGGTAGAATTATAGTTCTCTCTAGCAGGAGCTTATTGCAGGCTGCAGGACCCATTGTCGGGGGGTGGAGCTTGGGCCACGTAATTTGCGGAGCGGAGGCCGGCCGCTCCAGCAGATGCCAGATAGTAACAACGAACGCGCATTTCCCATGAACTGAACCGCATCGGTGTCAATTTGCCCCCTCCATGATTATCCTCAGTCTCTGAGGTTTGAATTTAGCTCTGGATGCTTTCGATATAGAAAATGCATCTTTCTAAGATATCCGCATTCTTAACGCCGGTACTCAATGCCGCTGCGGTGCTTTCTAGTCAAGCTCCGGCCGATGATCTCTCCGTTCTAAGCAGCGAGGTAGCGAGAGCCAACAACCAGTCTTTACTATGGGGCCCGTATAAACCGAACCTCTACTTTGGGGTTCGCCCTCGCATCCCGAACAGTCTGTTTGCAGGATTGATGTGGGCAAAGGTGGACAATTATGCCACGGCGCAACAGAGTATGTGTCCGGAACAAGCAAACCGGTCTCTTCCTTCTAACAATTGCATCCGCCCAACTGTGAACTGACCTTTTTCAAAAGACTTTAGACATACCTGCGAGCAGAATGAAGGCATGGCTGGCTATGGCTGGGATGAGTACGACATTCGGAAGGGTGGCCGCCAGACAATCCATGATGCCGGAAACTCCATTGATCTGACGATCGATTTCGTGAAGGTCCCCGGTGGACAGCATGGAGGCAGCTGGGCTGCTCGTGTGAAGGGTGCTCCCCGCGAAGATGCTGATCCCGATCAGCCCACAACCGTTCTTTTCTATGCAGGCTTGGAGGGACTTGGCAACCTGGGCGTTGAGGGCCAACCTGAGGATCCTTACGGCTTTGCGGGTGATATTAAGTTTGGTGGTTTTACTACGGATCTCGGCGATTTCTCGATTGATGTTACTTCTGGCCCTGAGAGCAACGAGTACCCGGAGCACGGTCACCCAACCTATGACGAGAAGCCCTTGGACCGTACCTTGGTGTCGAGTTTGACCATGCACCCGGAGCAGCTCTGGCAGACTAAAGGTTCGGCTCCCATTGCTGGATATTGCATTACATGCACTCTGGGTAATGACTGCTAACTCTATGCGCAGTTATCATGTTCACTCAGATGAAGAAGGAGGTCGACGAAATGGTCGAGAAGTATGGATCGGAGAACCCTCCTCCTCCCTACCAGCTCTTCACCATCAAGAATGAGCCCGGGGATGGTAACATGCATCTGGTGCAGAAGGTCTTTAAGGGCTCTTTCGAGGTACTTGGTGCAAGATCATCCCGCTTGTAGATTGTTACTCACTGTTGCTAGTTCGATATTCTTTTCTCTTCTGCATCTTCCCCGCAGCCTATGACTTGTGAGACATTTTGCCCTCGACCTGGATGTTTATCCTGTACTAACGAGTCTGTTCAACAGCCGAGCTTCTCACTGAGCAGATCTCAAGCGCCTCTCTTGAGTTCTCTGAACGGTTTGAAAGCATCCACCCCCCGCAAGCGCCATTCGATACTGCGGAATACACCGAATTCTCCAAGTCCATGCTCTCGAACCTTGTCGGTGGCATTGGATTCTTCCACGGAACAGACATCGTTGATCGTTCCGCTGCACCGGAGTATGACGAGGAGAATGAGGGATTCTGGGAAGAAACTGCAGAGGCCAGGGGTCGGGCACAGCCTATCCTTGAAGGCCCGAAGGATCTCTTCACTTGCGTTCCCTCCCGCCCATTCTTCCCTAGAGGTTTCCTCTGGGATGAAGGTTTCCACCTGATTCCAGTTATCGACTGGGATACAGACCTTGCGTAAGTCTCCGAGATCCAGGCATCACACAGCATTACTTGCAAATCCACTAACTTCAACAAGGCTTGAGATCGTCAAGAGCTGGCTTAACCTGATGGATGAAGATGGTTGGATTGCCAGAGAGCAGATTCTCGGATCCGAGGCTCGCAGCAAGGTTCCTCCCGAGTTCACGATCCAATACCCTCATTATGCCAACCCTCCGACTCTTTTCATCATTCTGGAAGCTTTCATCGATAAGCTGGATGCGAAGAAGAACGCTTCGATGCAGACATACGCTGATTCCGGAGCCTCTGACAACCTCCGCTCTATTCTTGTCGACCAACCCGAGTTGGGTGAAGCCTTTATCCGTTCAATCTACCCGTTGCTCAAGAAGCACTACTACTGGTACAGAAGCACCCAGAAGGGCGATATCAAGTCCTACGACCGTGAGGCATACTCTACTAGGGAAGCCTACCGCTGGCGAGGACGCTCGGTCCAGCATATCCTGACTTCTGGATTGGATGATTATCCTCGGCCTCAACCTCCCCACCCTGGTGAGCTCCACGTCGATCTTATGAGCTGGATGGGCATGATGACTCGTGCTCTTCGTCGTATTGCGGTGACCATTGGGGAGACGGAGGACGCTGAGGTGTTCAAGACCTACGAGACCGCCATCGAGAGAAACATCGATGATCTTCACTGGGATGATGACGCTCGTACTTACTGCGATGCGACTATCGATGAATATGAGGAGCATGTCCACGTTTGCCACAAGGGTTATATCTCTATCTTCCCCTTCCTCACTGGCATGCTGGGCCCGGATAGCCCCCGCTTGAAGGCCATTTTGGACCTGATTGGTGACCCGGAGGAGCTCTGGAGCGACTATGGTATTCGCAGCTTGAGCAAGAAGGACCAGTTCTACGGCACTGCTGAGAACTACTGGAGAAGCCCCATCTGGGTTAACATTAACTACTTGGTGCTTAAGAACCTCTACGTAAGTAGTTATCTACTCCAGACACGACCATCGCAATAATGCTAACCTTATCATTCTAGGATATTGCCATCGTTTCCGGCCCTCACAAGGAACAGGCTCGTGAGCTGTATTCCAACTTGCGCAAGAATCTAGTTGAGAATGTCTTCCAGGAGTGGAAGAAGACCGGATTTGCCTGGGAGCAATATAACCCCGAGACCGGAAACGGACAGCGGACCCAGCACTTCACCGGCTGGACCAGTATGGTGGTGAAGATGATGTCCATGCCCGATCTGCCCGCCAGCGCGCAGAAGGGCCATGATGAGCTGTAAGTCCAGATAAGCGAAGTATGTATGGTATAGTTTAGATATCCTGGAGTATCATCAAAGTCTGTACAATGTTAAATCCCAAACGCCGAGAATACCATGCAAATCGAGGAATGGCGACCCTGATTTCAGCGTCGTCGATGGTGGTCGGGAGAATCCCTTTCTCTCGGGTGAGCACGATGACGATCCTCTCGCGGTCTCCTATGGTCGTCACGTCTCCGGTCTCTACTCCTTGACCGTGATCGCGAGCGTCTTCTTCTGTGCTCGCGATCACGATCGCGCGACCTACTTCTAGATCTGTGGCGATGACTGCGATGACGTCGCTCGCGCTCCTCACCATGCCTGCGATGCCTGCGCTCTCGTTCCCTGTCCCTGTCCCTATCTCTGTCGCCTGGGCGGTCTCGCTTTCGATCCCTCCCCGGGCTTCGACTACGGCCGCTGCGTCGGGACGAACCATACCCAAGGCCCTTCCCTTCTTCCCCATCGCGGTCTTCTGTAGCCTCCTCCTTTATTGTCCTTTGTCCATCCTTGTCCCCAAGAGGCACCAAGTTGGCATTGTCTGACGCCTTCGGCGGTATCGGGAGACCTAGCGCTCGCGCCATCGCTTCTTCCTCAGCTTCTTTGACGCGCTGTTTCTCCTCACGTTCCCTTCTGGCCTGATCTTCGTCGTCACCGTCTCCCTTTGCGTACCACATTAGATCCTTTCCCTGCTGCCAACGTCCGACAGGAGCCATGACCGAGTGGCCGAGATAGTTCTCGCGGTGCGCGGAATCTTTGACATCGGACCATTTGAAATCGCCGCGGCCGCCGCTGGGGGTGACAGTTAGTTTAGGATATTATCTCATAATGAGGGTGGGTAGAATTGAGGGGAACTAACCGGCTGCCCTCTTTCCTAACACCTGCGACGAGATCCATTTTGAGGGTTAGCCCAATAGGAAGTAGTGTTTTGATCAAACACGTTGGAAAGAATCCCCAGGATGAATCGGGGAAGTGAAGCTGAAGCTACCGGAGAACCACCGGTGGCACGTGCGCTGTTTGGTGCCTAAGGCAGCCAGGACGGGCTGAAGGTGACCTCATTATCAGCCGGACTGTTTTGAGGCACAATCCGATTTGTGATGGTCATCTACCCGGAGGTGAGTTCCTCTACTCTTGTGGTATGTGTCTTGGCCAGACTCACCAGTCCCGCCGCAGCTTCGGACAGCAAACCCGGCCATCGTTCGACTCCATGTGATGTCACCGAGCTTGTTATTCACTCCAGAACTGCCCCTCGACGCCTGTGTATGTCGGTAGTCATCTTGCCGCCTTCAACTTCCCCCGATCCGTACACCTCAAACGTGAGTGGTCGATCGTCGGAACTATACTTCGGCACACTTTGTCCTTGTATCCAGCCCATCATATCCTCCCCGTAAGCGACTGCGGGCTGCCGACATGGCGTTCGGTAGCGATGCTGGTAAGCTGCCAAAAGCGCGGCCTCGAGATGGTCTACAGCTTCGGCCTTTGAATATCGAGAAAGGGTCCAAAAGAGTATGTTGCTACCCCTCTTCCACCGTCATGAAAGCTACTCCCAATGCGCAACTCGACCTACAAGCCTGCTGACCCTCCCGCCAAGTACTGTTCGTATGTTTTCTGCTGCCATGATCCGAACCGCTGTCTGTTGGCGATGCTGAACGAAACTGCAGCGCAGATGATACCTTCCCTCCTCAGACCGCCACTTGGAGGAACAACTTGGTATTATTGCTGCCTTCCTTGTGCTGCGTGATTGTCATGTGCTAATCTTACTGAAGATGGCGCTTTCTCAGCGTCGAAACTTGTTGTTCGTCGCCTGTAGTCACCAAATCTATGTCTGGGAGCCATCAGGGTCGTTTCAGACGCTGGGAAACAAACCCGAAATGATAATAACTCCAGTAATGAAAGTGCCTCATGCTAGCGGCTATATTGCACCAGCTTCGCCACATGCAATCAACAATCTCCTTGTGGATGATTTAGGTCGAGACGAGGTCCTATTACTTGTCACTGATTCCGGCAACGTCTGCGGTTACCGGGTCGAGGCCATCTTCTCTGCCTTGAAGCGAGCGGCAGAGAATAAGGAAGAGCGTCCCCTCGATGGATCCCAGGTGGATCCGTTCTTTGTGGAATTTGTTCAAGCTAGTGCCTGGGGCCTGGCTATCCATAAATTCGCCCGCCTCATTGCAGTGAGCGCGAACACGGGTCTCATAACCGTTTTTGCCTTTGCACTCGTGAATCCCACTTCGGAAAGCAGTAGCTCGAGCTATCACCCAGACGAAGATGATGATATGATCGATTACGGTCAGACCTGGCTGGAGGTCAGGACTAAGGACCAGTTCAATCAGCTGCGGCATCTGATGCCAGCCAGACACCGCACACGAAATGTCAAGCTGACTTATACCGGCCATTACGCTAATATCCCTTGTGTTGATTTCTTGAACTGCGATCTCGACCCTAACGGCAATTGGATGGTCAGCACAGATATCGACAATAGGCTGCTTGTATGGCGGGTATGGGATAGTCTTGGTCCATTCAACGTTAATCACTTCAATGATGTCTCTTTCAAGTTCTTCCCAGAGACCCTACGTTCTGAGTACAGCTCCATCCCCAGCTTGAGCACTAGGACTCAGACCACTGACAAGGTAATAGTGAGCGTGGCTGGTCTGTAATTGCCCTCGACCCGCGGACCTTCCATCGTGTTAAGTCTACTGAAGAAGCTTGCGGTGGCCCACCCATTCGCCGGGCAAAGAACGGCCGGACCGTTTATGACCTGACGAGAGCAAACAGTCGGATACCGAACGCTTCGCAGATATACAACTTCTTCCCACCCGCAGTGAAGATCGAGTCAGAGGAACCTGTTTTGCCCGACATATTTGGAGCCGACTGTTGCATCAGCAGACGAAACGGCGCCTCCCAGGCTGCTTTTGCTGACGGCACTTCAGCGGCACTTCGTCGGTATCCAAGCGATGGCGCGTCTGCAGAATTTCTCGATGCCAACGGCTTGTCCACGGCCACGGGAAATATTCGTCCCTCTGATTTTGCCGACACATTCAGCCACCGAGCCGTCAACGGGTCTGTATATGGCGACAACTTGAGCCGCGACGGCTCCGATGTGGATGTTGGGGCGCATAATGCAGCAGGTAATGGGCATTTCCAGTCACCAAATCGCACAGTTCAGAGAGTTGACGCTCTTCATATAGGCCCGGGTCCCTTGACCACACCGGAGTTCCTTCAATTCGCACTTCTCGAGGCTCTTGGCGGCGAAGCTCCCGGCACCGAATTCTATGAGGACGAAATAGATTATTACCTGGCTGGAGGCACTTACAGTTCCGATCATGAGCTGGATAATGCCGACAACAGTAGTTCCTCCTACAATAGCGATACATCAGCAGTGGGATCTATCCCATACCCACTACTCGACGGTGAGTTGGTATACTCTCAGCTCTACCCCCGTAGACATTGTCATGTTGATAGCATGTTTGATACGAATTCAGCAGGCTCCCGATTTCCCATCCTACACTTCTCACAAACAGACATCCGTTTGATACCCCATCCATTCGCAAACTACGCCACAGCCGTCTGCGGCGACCCTCTACGACAACCTTTTACCCACCCCGTCGTCTCCATCCGAGCCTGCGATCGCTTCAACATGGTCAAGTATGTCCCAGAACATGGCATCGTGATCGCCGCATCCCAAAAAGGCCGCGCAGCCGTCATAGCCCTCACGGAATCCGAAACCACCGGCATATCATTCCGAGTCGACTGGATCGTACCACTCGAGAGCCAAGAAAAATACGGCGACCGTCCTCTCATCCCCATCTTAGGAATGTGCGTCAGTCCCATCCAAGGTTTCGAGTTTCCACCAGACGTGCCCTACATCCCCCGCGACGTCAAGCCCGACGACCTCGCCTTCCAGTTCAAGTACCTAAGTCACGACGAACACAACTCCTCCCTATCAAGCAGCGTCATGCTACAACAGAATTCCTTCAACGAAGAAATCAACAACTCCGAAGTCGATCCCAATGAAACTGCCGCTGCCGATGACGACAGCTCCCAACCACCCCCGCTCAGCTTACCTGAATGCCACGCCCGTGCAAGCAGTGCCTACCAACCCGAAGAAAGTTGGCGCGGCTGGAACCCATCGCGCCATTACCGGCTCATGCTCATGTACGCAGATCACACCATCATGAGCTACGAGTTCTGGTATAAGTGGAACACTACAGAAAGTGGTCCAAATGGGCAGGATCTCGACGAGGAAGATGATATTCTCCTTGTATAGGCTCTGTTCTGGCCCTTATATGCAACCAATTCTGATATTAAAATTCAAAATGGTATGATGAAAAGTATTAAGGCGTGAGCGTGAGCGTGTGAATCATCGATCGTTTCACTCCTCACTTTCGCATTCATGAAAAACAGGGGCGTTATTTGGAGCGCGTTGATGTTGTTGTTATTCGTGTCACTGAAACTGTTTAGCACAGCGCTATGTGTGTTCATGGATCTTCTTCGAAGTAGGAAGGTCCAGGGGGTGCTGGGGTCCTCTATCTAAGACTGGGTTACGTTACTCGATGGTAGCTTTTTTTTTCCTCTTTGTTATTTAGTTTCTTATATTTCGGGATCTGAGGCCCCTCACCATTTTCTTTTCTGTTTCCGTGGTCTCAATGGACACATCTTTTGACTCCGATGTGTGTGTATCTATGTGGTTTGTACGGATGTATGGCTTACTTTACCCTATGGTGTAATGAAGATGTAATGTTCTGATTGGGAAGAATGTGACAAAGTAGAGGATTTAATGGAAATTGCTTTGTTTTTTGAAACATAGAACATATCGTGATATACATGCCAACGAAGAGCAACACGGCTTTGAATTGAACTTTGGATGTTGAAATGCAATATGATGCAAAACACAGAAAAAGGATGTCCAATACCAATGAACATTTTCGCTAATGCAGGATGCATGCATAGTCATAGTCGTCAAGGTCATAGTTAGATAAATGGCAGCTTCGCAAAACGTACATGAGTCGTGATACGGTATATCCATGAAAAGGAAGTATAGATACCAGAAAGAGGTTTAGACGTGGGGAGGGGGTTCCGTTATAGTTAAATCCGTGGAAATGATGGGGGCGTTGCTAGAAATCATCATCTAGCTCGTCACTGTCCCATTCGTCTTCCCGGTCATTCAAGACCAGGTCCAGAAACCTCTGGAGTCCCGGGCGTCTGACTTGGGGAGGCTCGCCATCTGGACCACGGCGAACCTCGGCCATTGCTCGTGCTTGAGCTTGTCTTTCGGCGGCGGCTGCTCGGCCTGCGGCGTCGAGATCGTTGGCGTTGTTTCCACGATGGCGATTGCCCCCGGCTGCGCCGTTGTTGACTCTTGGAGGGACAGGAGCAGGGGGTGGAGGTCGTCTGCCGAGCTCCCAAGCTACGAGGTCTTCGTCGTCGCTGCCATCGTCGAAATCGAGCAGTTCGTCGGGAACACGATGCAAGGCTGCGGCTCCATCGGGGTTGATGCCGTCGCCACCTTCCAGATCCCACAGCCGGTTGAAGCATCCACTGTTGATGTCGTTGAAATGGCGGTAGGGGTTGTCTTCGCAGAGCCAGCTAGAGCAGAGATAGCAGAAGTGGGTGTCACATTTGAAGCATTTCATATGGTTGCAACCCATTTGCTTCTGGCATGGAGCATCGCATGTCGGACATGCCGAGGTGTACATACGCAGATACTCCTCCGTTGCTTTCTCCTCGGCGGAGAGCTCTGCCTCGCGGCGAGGAAAGCACCGTACCAGTTCGCCGTGCCAGCCCTTCTTGCAAACACAACAGAAGGCATAGTTGCAATCTTCGCAGATGGCCACACGCTCGGACATTGGTGGCAGCTGAGCTTCCTCCCCTAGGGGGTCGAACACGGGTCCCTCTTCATCTTCATCATCGGAGGCGTCGAGGTCGTCTGTCATTGGATCCACGGGCTTGGGGTGCCTCTTGGATCGCGCAGCTCCTTGACACCACTGCCGTGGGCAATACACAGTCGACTTGTCGGCCTCGAGCTTCTTCTTCCGTTTCAAGAAAACATAACGCTGCACTGTCTCTTGTTCCAATGGGATCTGAAGGAGCTCGCTGGGGCTCAGGGTTCGATCTTGCTTTTTGCGTTTCTTCGGGCGGGCATCGGTGGAAGAGGCACTGTTTGGTTCTTTACCACAGCCAGGAGCCAAGCACTTGACACCTTCGACATCGCCTTCCGTTATACAAGTGTTGTAAAAGTCTTGAAGGCATGGCACGCAAAAGACATGCCCACAAAGCACGAGTCGGTGGCAAATCGTGCCCTTCTTGGGTTCGAGACAGACTCCACATTCAAAGGTCTCCTCTTCGAACCTTTCCCGTTCGGCTTTGTTGTTGAAGTCCAGCAATGCGATCTTTAACTCACGGGGAAGTTGAACTTCGCCACCGGATATGTCGCCAACCCCAAAAGCCGACTCCCCCAGTTGCTGAAGATGGTCAATATATGTATATACCACGAGATCCTTGCCACATTCCTCCCAAAGACGTTTTCCGTCATCCAAAAGACCCAGTAATATGGAAGGTGGCAACCACGGAGGGCTTGTTTCGAGCCTGAAGATGGGCGCTTCTTCGGTAGGGTAACCTTGGGGGAGCTCGATTTCGAGGCAGAGGGGTGGGAGATGTGAGAGTGTATGAATATCGCGATTGAGGCTAGCGGAATTATGGTCACCTGTCTTGAAAGAAAAGCCGGGATCGTTGGCATCAACGGAGGTGGGGGGAGTTAGGACGGCGGGGAACTCTGTCTCAGATTGTTGCTGGAAGCAGACACGCAGGGGAGCAGACGGCTTAACCGGTAAAGTGAGGGATGCTTTGAATGGCGAGGACGGATCTAACTTGATCTCTGGGTAGATGGCGGCAATGGATGATAACTCCACCGAGCGCTCATCTTCTGGAAACGAGTCCAGCTCTGTCATGGTGAAACAATCCGCCGCAGTGTAAGGAATGAATCAATAGCCTCGAAATCCTCCCAGCTGATCGACGCAAATTGTCGGATGTGTTGGGTGGCAAGGAAGGCCTGACGGCGAAGCGAGGCCGAAACGGTATGGCCGCAGTATACCCCGGGTAGTGTCACTGTTCCGATCTTTCTATAATATTCATTCCCCTGGGAGGCAATCGAAGTGAAAAAAAGGTTAAAAGCGGTGAGGGAGAAGGTGGTTAAAGAGCAAAGAATTAAGAATAACTAGTCCATGGATCAGCATCTAGCCAGAGGGGATAGTTTTATCAATCAGGAAGTCCGGTGGCGGAGATCCGGAGGGAGATGCACCTTTCAGGTACGGCCGATGGTTGCGGACCAGGCAATAGTCATGGAGGCAGTGGAGCCGATAGACGAACACAGGAGAAGGAAAGGGTCGGGCGAGACTGAAGGAGACAAGAAGCAGCAGTGTCTATTCTAGTAGTGGTTTGTAGTACAGATATACAGGAGGTGAGGCAATGAGAACGAGGCTTTGGGGGGAAGTGCGTCATGATTTGATGACCCGAGATAGAGATAAGAGGGGATTAACAGCAGCAGCAGTAGTTAAACAGGAGGGAAGAAGGTAGTTGCAAGAACTAAAGAGCTGGCTGGGACCGAACAGGAGAAGAAGGAAAGGACATGGTTGTGTGTGTGTGTGTGTGTGTGTGGGAAAAAAAGATGGGATGGGCATCAGGCACGGGATTTGCTGCCCAGTTTGGTCATCATTTTCAAAAACTGAATGATGGAAATTCAATGGAAATGGAATGAAACAAAATGAAATGTTCTCGATTGTTCGTTATTTTTTGGGTGACTCGACAGCCTTCCCAGCCTGAGGCCAACCCCCGATCTTCCCCTCCCCCTCATTCCTCTCGCCGCTTTTAGTTCTGCCCTTTTTCATAGGCGGTGTCGGTACTGCTACTCAAAAGCGGCGATGCCACCATCCGCAGGACGCGTGACCTTTCTCTCCTGGGAAAGATGATGATATCGCCTAGACTGGTCACAATCAGACATTCGCCATCCTGATTTAGAAAATTATCGGCCCGATCAACAAGCAGGGTCATTTAAGATCTCAACATCCATCTATCTCGGATAGGTCTCTCAACCGTTATGTCTGTGTATCGGTCTTGATCCGGTTTCTGATTCGGTTTAGCTCGTTCTGCCAGTTGGTATTGTAATTCTGGGTAGCGTCTTGAACTTGTCTACCCGCCGTCTGCAAGCTCCCAACAAGGCTATATAGAGGAATACAACACTCAATCATTATCTCGGTCTGACTTTCGAGTCACACAAAATGGCTGATATACCATTGGCGTCCTTGTCTTTGACTCACGTCCACTACGTAAGTTCTCCTTTGATAATGCTCCCTAATAGCCAGAGTAGGCCGATTCTCAACGCCTGACCATCGCTAACCAAACCCACCAAATGGCAATAGGACCCCAGTGATCCAATTTCTTTTCTTTCTGCCTGGCTTGCCTTGGTGCCACAAGCGCTATGCGTGAGCTATGCTACCCTGATCGTTGCTTCAAGGGAAGCTGAGGTGGTCTTGATGTTTGCGGGTCAGATGGGTTGCGAGGCACTGAATTTCGTGCTCAAGCGGATTGTTAAAGAGGAAAGACCAAAACGTAGGTAGTCCTGTACAGAGATCTTTGCATTCTGATACCGAACGGATGGAACTAACGACGTTTTAAAGAAATGTTGGGTAAAGGCTATGGCATGCCGTCTTCTCATGCCCAGTTCATGGCCTATCTCGCCGTCTATGCATCACTCTTCCTCATTTACCGACACAGCCCGAGCTTATCGCAGTCAGGAGCGGCTCTTCACTTCTGGATGCGAGTGTTGATCTCCTTGGTATTATGTCTCGGTGCCGGTGCAGTAGCCGTTAGCCGCATTTACCTGAACTACCACACCCCCAGGCAGGTCCTGGCTGGATGTGGCGCAGGTGTGATTTGTGCATTCGCTTGGTTCTTCATTACCGGGCTTCTTCGATCGCAAGGATGGATTGATTGGGCCTTGAATCTCGAGATCTTTCGATTCTTTCGTGTGAGAGATTTGGTGGTGAACGAAGATCTCGCCGAGGCCGGATGGCAACGCTGGGAGGCTAAGCGGAAGTTGAAGCGGAAAGGGCCCAGTGGTCAGACATCATCTAAAAACGAATAGTGCGATTCGAAGATGTCAATGCGGCGGATTTGAAGAGCAATCCCATATACGTGCCAATCTCAGCGATACCCATAGATCTCACCGTCCTTGATACTTAAATGCATACAAGGCCTGCAAAGTGAAAGTCTCTCGGTTTGGTTCGATCCTACCCAGGGTTACAGATAATACAATTACAAATCTCTGTCCTACTATTATAGGCTTCATCTATATATCAGCGTGTTAGCAGGGTGGTCGTACAACATACTAATACTAGTTTATTAAAGTTGAGGGATTTACAGTAATAGTAACTCTTGGATATGACTATGATGATACCAATTCGAATATGATGCAGATACGCAGATTATATATTACCGGAAGACGGGGACTAAGCACTACTACAAAGTAATTAGTACTAGTGCTCGGGAGTGATTGTGGCCTTGAAGATGAACTTCTACTATTAGAAAGATTGCAGGGACAATATAATGGCCTTTGGATCTTTTAGGATCGTAGAATCGAGAACAAACCTTCTTATTGTTTGCTTCTTGATTTCTACTACGAGAGATCCACCTCAAGGGGCGTTCCTCGCACGTGACCGCCAGCTCCCGCGGATCGACAGCTTCCCCGAAACTCCTCGCGTGGTCATCGTCGATTCACAAAAGACTGCGGAGAGAGCTGCCTCAGAACCGCCATAAAAGACACCATGTGTCCTTTTCTTGACTAAATAACCATGTTGGATAGCCTCTGACATTCTCTCTCCCACCCCGCCTTGTCGCTTGGATTTTACCCTTCTCTTTTAACTTCTTCCGGGCTTCCCCCCCTGTTCACTTCCAACTGATACCCTTGATTTTGTCCCTGAACTACTTCATTATTTTCTTCTGTGATCTGTCGTCTCTAGAATTTCATTGCCCCATAGTTACACAAACATGGATGATGCATCGGAGCCTGCGGATAGTGCCATGCAAGAGCATCATTTCGTTAAAGCAGATGAAGTTGACCAGACTGGAACGGACATCAGTCCCGTTTCGGATGACCAGTTGATGGAGGAGGTAGCCGAGGGAATACGCCAGGAGCAGTCACAGCAGAATGTATCTACTGCGCCTAATGAAGCACCAGTAGAGACTCACAGAGCACCAAAACGCCCTGAGCTGCGTCGGGATGCTTCTGCCCCACCGCCTCCTCTACAGCCACCGCCTCCAGCTCCGGTTCAGCAACATGTGGAAAGACCATCTGATTCATTGAGTCTTGCTCAGCTGAAACAGCTGGTTCAGGAGATGCCCAAGGTTGAGCAGCCTGCCTATGCTTTCGAGTATGCAGACTCCCAGCCATTCGCCGAGGAAGTCGAGGAATGGTTCCAGTACAGCGAGTTCGACAGAGTCATGCTCATTGGGATGAAGTCATCATTTGACCATAGATGGAGTTGTTTCTGCGAAGACCAGTCTGTGGACAGTGCTATGCAGTCCTGGATTACCGCCTCTTATGAATTACGAAAGACGTTTATGAGCCAGCTTATTAATAACTTAGGTGACCGTGCAGTCCTTGTTCGAATTGAGGCCTTGGAGGCCATATGCTATGCTTTGACTGGTGTTTGGGGCCTGACGGCCGGTCGAGTTGTGGATGAGCACCCGGAGGGTCGTCCTCAGCCAGGTGCAGAGGCTGAAAGCCAGTCACTTCAGATCAAATGGATTGAACAGAATGTTTGCCTGCTCCAAGAATGCTCAGGTATCCAGCCACTGATGGACTGCCTATCCTGTGTCTTTGAGAGGCATCGCAGTTCCTCCGCACCGGACGCGGACAGCACGACACAAGAAGGCGCCAACCCTGCCTATGTTGCTGCTCTGGAGAGAGAAGCAAATCTGGTGTTGACGGCTCTTTATTTGTCCGTGGAAGTCGGCCGCAAGCAAGACGCTCTTGATACCCGGAATGCCCCTTTGAGAGATACTCTCATGAGTCTGGAGCCCAATCTGCTTGTGTTCCTGGTGGAAATCATTGCGCGGTTGCGTTGGGACGACTCTGCCAATGTTCCGCTGACCAGAGTCATTCTTCTATTTTGGAAGTCTTTGCTGCTTTTCTTTGGAGGCACTGATAAATTGAAGGAGGCCAAGGAAGCACTGGAGCCGACCCTCGAGGCAAGAAAAACAGCCATTAATCGAAGGACCCCTTTCCTCACTGCCTCGCCCTTGGATTACCACAACTTTCGACAGGAGATCACATCCAAGTATCCTGCATATAATCCGCCACCTCCTGTGGTCCCCCTAGAGCTAGAAAATAATTCGATTCTTCCCCCACTCCCGCAACATCCCAGCAGGATCGGCTCTTCTGCGGGTCCCTTCTCTGGAGTCGGCCCTTCTGTGGCGGGTGGCAGTGGTTCAATCATCCATCACCCAGTCCACATCGCTACCCCGGCACCCTCTCCTCCACCGTCACCCATCGGCCCTGGCGGCAAAGCGGGGAAGAAGCAAAACTACCAGACAAACCAGAACTTTCCTTTCATGTACCCTCCTCTAGATGATTCAAGTAATGACCTCGGAGGCAAGGGCACCACAGAGCTGCAAGATAATCTTGTGGGAAAGAAATGGCAGGGCAGTGATGTTCCGGCGTCCATCATCGAGGCTGGGAGGCTGTTCTCAACCCATGTCAAGATGACAAGGGCGATGCGGCAACTCTGGGAAGAGCGAGAGCGTTTTATGAAATACGACCGCGGCTGGTATCCTGATGAAAATCAGCTTCTTTTAAACGAGAACGCCCTTGGTGGATTGGCAGATGAGCTGCAAGATTTAAATATCTCCGAGAAGAGGCCAAGTACTGATAGCACACCGAAAGAAGAAACTGAGAATGCGGATATTCAGCAACGCCTGGATGCCGTTGAATCGTTCTACGTGAGTTTACGTGGTGCCCCAGGTGACGGAACAATTACTTACGACTCGCAGAGACAAGCACTGGTGCATCTACAGTCTATAACGATTGTCTTTCTGAAGATAATCCTAACAAATGTTAGCGCCATGGTGAGCCAGGCCAATGGACAAGCTGCGCAAGCCATGGGGTATGTGATACACCTGTAATTGCCATTGCATAGCGTGTACTGATGCCTCATATCTAGGGATGGTTATGGATCGGTGATCAATGGGTTCCCAGCCAATCATGTCAACGGGCATATTGATCTCAACTCCGAAGCCGCCATCGATGAGCTCGACAACATTCGTCTCCGGGAAATCACTGGAAAAGCGATCTCTGGCTCTCTGTTACTGCTTGTCAAGTGGTTCAAGAGATCTCGTAAGCTACTCCGATCTGAATGTGTTGGAAGGAAGTGCTAACAGACCTCAGATATCTTGAAGTTCGAGTATATGACGCAGTTGTTACTCGATTCCAACTACCTGCCGTTGATTCTGAAGATGTTTGCCCACCAGGATGTGGATCAGGCAGTAGCGCAGAAGAATGATCGAGAGGAACTGGGGTAGGTGCTCCTCCGAAACAGCTATCTAGATATACTAACAAAAACGAAGCTTCTTCCGCTTTTGCCATATCCACTCGAACCAACCGCCGGAATCGACAACCGACCTGGATGAGGACTCCTCACCTAGTGACGACGAAGCTGTCCCTCCGCCCATCACCCGACATCGCCAGGACACAGGCAATTCAGTACGCGGAGTGTCGCCCGAAGTATCTGTTCCTGAATTTATGGAAGGGCCTCACCGTCCGGAAGTTGACGAGCTAGGCTACCCTACAGCTCCCCCACCTAAGGAGCCGATTACCGTGTTCTCATTCCGCAACTTTTTCTCAGCGATCAATTACCTCCACATCATGCAGAAGATCACCCGCGACAAGGCCCATCGATGCCTCCTCCTGGTGCAGTACAAGTCAAGCACTATCCTTCGCAAAGGGCTCAAAATACCTGATCCGCACCTGCGGTTCTACACGCTCAAGCTCTTCAAATCGCAGGTGCCCTACTGTGGACGCAAATGGCGACAGAGTAACATGCGGGTGATCACGGCGATCTATCTGTACTGCCGACCGGAGCTCCGAGACGACTGGCTATCTGGTGGAGACATTGACTCGGAGGTGGAAGAAGCACTGCCACTGGAGCAGGCATTGCGCGGGCTGACGCACTGGTGGCATCTGCGCCGGTACAAGGACGTGATGGGAGGTGAAGAAGGCGCATCCATGATGGAAGAAGAGCGGGATTTCTTCGTGCGGGAGCTCGAAGCAATGGGATGGGGCATGGCAGGCGAGGAATCCTTCGGAGGCAGCGAGGACGCTGACATGGGCGGGCCTATGGTGAACGGAACGGGGACCGAATGGGACGGAACTCCACTGCAAATGGAAGGATGGTAATCCTACCACCACAGCCTATGATATTTATTAGACCCGGTACATACGATAGATGTTAACGTTATGTGATGAATGAACAATACCCCAATTGCACAACACTCTTTTCTATACAAATTCCTTTGTTGCAACTCATATATTAGCATTTGCAATGTTTTGAATGGATGGACAGACCATCCTTATCGATAAGCAGCCCAGTGGGCCCCCACGTGACCAATCACTGCGGCAACTTTTTTTCTGCGGCAGAAATCATCACCTTGACGGCCAAGCAGCACCTCCCTCTTCCCTTTTCTCCCCAGCAAAACCAAGTTTAACTGTAGCGGGGATAAAACCAATCCACCGCGAGAAGTATCTGGCAAGATGTCGTCCGACGAAATTGTCTGGCAGGTTATCAACCAGCAATTCTGCGCCTACAAGCTCAAGTAAGTCTCTACTATCCATCCGCGCTATAAAAAAAAAATTTCCGCCTACCACATACATCACAACCAAAGCCGACAAAGAAGAGAGAGAGGAAATAGTCCACAAGTATTCAAATAGTTGCTAATTTTAATTTTTCTCTCTTCGAAATAGAACTACCAAGAACCAAAACTTCTGCCGAAATGAATATAATGTCAGCGGACTTTGCAACCGGCAATCTTGCCCGCTCGCCAACTCGCGGTACGCCACGATCCGGTCGGACCCCGAAACAGGCGCGATGTACTTGTACATGAAGACGGTGGAACGGGCGCACATGCCCAGCAAATGGTGGGAGCGGATACGATTGTCGTCGAACTACGCGAAGGCGCTGGAGCAGTTGGACGAGCGGCTGATCTACTGGCCGAAGTTCCTGGTGCATAAGTGCAAGCAGCGTCTCACGCGGCTGACGCAGGTTGCGATTCGGATGAAGAAGTTGGCTAAGGAGGACGAGAGACTTGGGGAGAAGGTGGTGACGAAGTTGGCGCCGAAGATTCGGCGGAGAGAGGAGGCGAGGGAACGCAAGGCGGAGAGTGCGGCGAAGATTGAGAGGGCGATCGAGCGGGAGCTGATCGAGCGGTTGAGGAGTGGTGCTTATGGAGATCGGCCGTTGAATGTTGAGGAGGGGATCTGGAAGAAGGTGTTGCGTGGGCTGGAGAGGAGTGGAGAGGGTGAGAGGGATGAGGATCTGGATGATGGGGAGGAGATTGAGTTTGAGGATGAGGAGGAAGAAGAGGAGGGTGTTGGTCAGGTTGAGTATGTTAGTGATATTGATGAGGATGAGGAGGATTTGGAGGATATTGAGGATTGGATTGGTGAGGGGTCTGGAGACTCCAGTGACGATTACGATGATGAGAGCGATGAGGAAGAGGACAGTGATGAGGATGATGAGGATGATAGCCATCACTCTGATGAGGAGGCTAAGAAGCCTGCACCTGGATTCAAGCGGAAGCGTCCTGCTCCTCAAATCAAGCCGAGGAAGAAGGGTCCCCGTGTTGAGATCGAATACGAGACTGAGGGTGCTGGTAAGGAGAGCATCATGGCTTGAAGAAAGTGAGACATTGAACATAAAAGCACGGGTTCCTGTTGATGTTGATGTTGCTGCTGCTGCTTTCGTGTACTGTATGGCGTTGTCTGGTTTAGAGTTGTTTTGTGTCTGTTATTACTGTTGCTCTGCTGCGATCGGGCATGCATACCCCGCCATTGCATATATGAATTTACTGTTCACCAAAGTTCTGATCTGCGACATTAGACTATGTACATCACAACTACATGAAGGTCAGAAACCAATTTACAAATGTTGAGACAAGATCCACCAGTTGGCTGTGTCAGATGGCGAAGGAAAGAAAGAAACCGACTGGAGCAGCTCACGTGCAGCGGGGGAAGTGAAACCGAGTGGATCGCCAACAACCGCCGTGAGGTCAATCAATCAATCAATGTCAAACCTCCCCTAAGGGGTTGCACCAATACCTCCTGATCACCCGTCTACACGCTGGTCGGCTCGAGATACCGTGTTCAATAGCACCTTAATTCCTCACCGCTGCAGCTAATTCTCTCGGCTCTTGTTTCGCCCCGCGGACCAGCATCAGCCTCTCCTCGTGTCCTGAACCCCCCCATAAACCGCGGACCCCACCTAAGCAACTCACCTCCTTTTGAGAGACCCCATCTCCGACCAGCCAGGGGGGAACCTGCATAACACAAATCAGAATCACAAGAAGAAGAAGAAGACGAACGAAGAAGAAGAACAAGAAACACCATCATGTTCTCATCCCTGACCTCATCCTCCGCCATCTCAAACCTAGGCACGCGGCTCACCTCCCTCCGACGAGCCATCACCCTAGGCGATGAAGCCGACGATCCAGAAAACGAAGACTGCTCGCACATTTCCAACGTGCTGCGCGCCTACTACACGGAGAAAGGACGGCCCTTCCCGAACTGGCTGCCCCCCGATCCGAAAGCGCCAACACCAGCGCCGGCACGGGTCATCGCGACGACGCAAGTGCAGGCCGGAGGAGCAGCCGGCGGCGGCAGTGGTCCAGCAGCATCGGCGTATGGACGCAGCGGAGGCGGCGGATTGGGAGACTTGTGGGGAGATTCGGGTTCAACGACGGCGCCGGCCTCGCAGACGGCCAGTCTGCGTCGAGGTCGGTTGACACCCGGCAGTGGTGGAAACATGGGGGCGCCTCTAGCCGCCACGGCCAGCGCACCGTCGGGGATGATTGCATCACCGCATAGTCCGTCACCTGGTGCAGGTGTGCCGACCGGGTCAGCGAGACCGCTGCCTAGCCAGCGAGCCGGGTCGTATCAGACGATCTCGGGCCCAGTCACAGGTGGAGGGCTAGAGCGAGCGGCGTCGGCCCAAGAAAGACTGCGAGCTAGATTACATGGGGGCCGGTCTCCCAGTCCCGGGCAGAATCCGGGCAGTTCGAGTGGTAGTCGGCCGGGTTCGCCATATGTTGGAGGGGGAGCGGATCCTAGTGCACGAAAACCGGTAGGCATGCCGGGAAGACGATAATGGTCGGGCAGGATTTTTTGTTGCTTTTTTAGTTTCGTTTACGTTTAGGCTAATTTACTTTTTACTCCATTTACGGAGTACGCCGTACTACCTTGGGCTGGGGTGGTGGTGTGTGGGGGGAAAACGAAGGGGGCAAGGAAGAGGAATTAGTGGCTGCAGGGGCTTATTGCAAGATGGGGACTGCTGGTTAGTGTCTTGTCTTGTGGTATTTCGGATGGAGTCCGCGGAATGGGGAAAAAGGGCGGGATGATGAAGTTGAAGAGGGAGAAGGAAAGAGGAAAGAGAGGAGCAAAGAGGAGGAAGCTAATCTATCTTAGTGGACTGGACTTTTCCATGGTTTTCGTTGTCATGGGACTTGGGACTGGGGACTCTGGGAGTTGTTCCTGCTTTTGTCTTCTCTGGTTGAGCCTTCGTGTACCTTACCTTTATCTTCTCTAACCAAGATGAGAGAGAGAGAGAGAGTATCATAATATAAACTCTGTATAATCCCACAAGCTTTTCCTTCTTGCCAGTAAAACCATGTTTCCTTCCCGTGCCGTCTTGGCTGTCCATCGAATTGCTTGTTGCTTGATGGCATTGCTTGAGTGAGGTAAGAAAAAGCTGGGCGTAAACATTCTTCCCTTGGCCAGGAAGGCCTTTTTGCCGGGGGAAAATAGAAGTGGGGAAGGCTTCCAGGCCATGCTTTTGACTTTTACTTTTCCTTTCCTTCTCTGCGTTTCGCTTCAGCCCGGGGCGCGTGTTGTCACGGCCCAGCAAGAAGTTTTAGACTAGTGTCGGGGGTGTAGGGGAAAGTTAACGAATGAGGGACTCGGGCTTGTGGAGAGTTGAACGGGGAACGGGGAAGAGATTGGAACCTTTGGGGGGAAGGAAAGGAAGAAATCGGAGTAAGATAGCGAGACCAGTCAGAGATTATGGGGAATCGACACTAAGTAGTAACAGTATGGAGTACTCCGTTAAGAGTGTAAAGAGTCACGGGGCCCCGAAAAGAGAGCGCCCATAAGATAAGTGGAATAAATGGCGCAACTACATAGTAGACCTACCCCACGAGGCTAACCAGAATAAGCGTATGGTGGTATTTTTCAATGAACGATGACTGGTCAGAGTATCGCCGAGAATCCACCGGCTTAGGTAATGGGTGCTGCCCACGGGGAAATTGTCTCCTCCGCTTCTCTTCTGGGGAAGAATCAGCATCGCAGACATTCCTTCCATTCCACTCATTCCATCGGGTTGTTGCTTAATGGTCAGACATCTTTGCTGCTGCTGCTGCTGATTCTGTTTGCTGCCCATCATGCCGTTCCCCACTTCTGCATCTTCCCTTTCTTTTTTTCCTTTTCTTTTCTCCCTCCCCCCCGGCTGGCCCTCGCGTGGTCGGCTTCCCTGACTGGTTCCACGGCCCGATACTAACGAGTCAAACCCGGTCCTCATGATGGGTCCTACTTCTTTTCTGACTTTTTCTTTTTTCCTCTCTCTCTCTTCATTACGCCGATGACGCTTCTGGGGAATGATGAGGTAGTAGTCAGTCTCAGTCGTACGTAGTTGTAGTTGGAGAAGGAGGAGGAGGAGGCCTATGGGCCGATATGTGTGCCCTTTAAATACCCCCCTTCTGGCATTCCCCAGATATTTCTACCTCTTTCTCTTCTTCTTTCTGCGTGTGTCTCTATCCCCACCTTATCTATCTCTCTTCTATACAGAAGATCCTTGCCCCGGTAGTGGGAGGTATCTTCTCTCTCTTTCTCACGCCCTCTCTCCCACCCGCAAAGAGAGTTGAACAACCCGCCCCTCCCACATGCTCTTTTAGCCCTGATTGTACCTCTCTTGTACATATCATAAAAAAAAAAGACTTCCCTCTAATATCACAAGCGGCTGTCACACCGCACTTTCCATTTCCAATCATGGGTGTCGTACACGACCTGGACACCTCTCATGATGACCACAAGGAGGGAACCGCCTTGGAGATGGACGATGTCCTCAAGGACCCCAAAGCCATCGAGGAATTCAACGAAGCTGCCATGGATGCAGAGTTACTGCAGCTCGAGGAGCAGCTGCAAGGCAGGAAGCCCTCTTGGTTCGTGGGCTTCTCCAACCCATCTGTGTATACCTATGTCCTAGTGGCCTTTGCCTCCATGGGTGGTCTACTCTCCGGTCTGGACCAGTCCCTGATCAGTGGTGCCAACATCTACCTGCCCGATGCATTGCACCTGAACGACAACCAAAGTAGTCTTGTGGATGCTGGTATGCCTCTGGGTGCCGTGGCCGGTGCCCTCATCCTCTCCCCCGCCAACGAGTACTTGGGTCGTCGCATGGCCATCATCGTCTCCTGCATCTTGTATACCATCGGTGCCGCCTTGGAGGCCGGCGCCATCAGCTTCGGAATGATCTTTGCTGGACGTTTCGTGCTCGGTATGGGTGTGGGTCTGGAAGGTGGTACAGTCCCTGTGTATGTCGCCGAGTCTGGTATGTCCTTCACCCCCTTACTTCCCCTTTACATCACCTTCATCATCGACTAACGTCACTCCAGTACCCCGCAAGATGCGTGGTAACCTGGTCTCACTGTACCAATTGAATATCGCTCTCGGAGAAGTCCTGGGTTATGCCGTGGCCGCCATCTTCCTCGACGTCAAGGGTAACTGGCGTTACATCCTGGGATCATCCCTGGTGTTCTCGACCATTCTGCTGGTGGGTATGATCTTCCTGCCCGAGAGTCCCCGTTACCTCATGCACAAGGGCCGGCCCGTGGAAGCCTACGGCGTGTGGAAGCGAATCCGCGGGTTCAACGACTACGACGCCAAGGACGAGTTCCTGGGCATGCGCCAGGCCGTGGAGGCCGAGCGCGAAGAACAAGCCGCAACCAAGAAGTACGCCTGGATGGACTTCATCACGGTGCCACGTGCCCGTCGCGCCATGATCTACGCCAACATCATGGTCTTCCTCGGCCAATTCACCGGTGTCAACGCCATCATGTACTACTGTAGAAAGGTAGATCACGTGATCATGTCCTTACTCCTCCGTACAAGGAAACTTCCTAAGGTGTATAGAATTATCTCTAATCCTTAGGAAAGATCCTGAGCAAGTATCTGGAAATCTCTGATCCAGTAGAATAGAATATCTGTAACTGGGGATTAGAGAAACTATATAAGGATTCTCATATCTCTTTAGTCTTTCTTAGCTAGCATAACAACAAAATTTTCACTTTATTTTATTACCATCAAATTACCTCCTATTTCAACAACTACATGAGCACACTGATGGGCGCCATCGGCTTCGACGAGCGCCAGAGTGTCTTCATGTCTTTGGTCGGTGGTGGCTCCCTCCTGATCGGCACCATCCCAGCGGTGTTGTACATGGAGCGCTTCGGCCGCCGCTACTGGGCCAACGCGATGCTCCCCGGTTTCTTCATCGGCTTAGTGCTGGTCGGCATCGGCTACCAGATCAACTACCAGACCCACCCCAAAGCCGCCCAGGGCATCTACCTCACCGGTATCGTCCTCTACCAGGCCTTCTTCGGCTCCTACGCCTGTCTCACCTGGGTCGTGCCCGCCGAAGTCTTCCCCACTTATCTGCGTAGTTACGGCATGACCACCGCCGACGCCAACCTCTTCCTCTGCTCCTTCATCGTCACCTACAACTTCACCCGCATGATGAACTCCATGACCCGTATCGGTCTGACCCTGGGATTCTACGGTGGTATTGCTTTCCTCGGCTGGATCTACCAGATTATTTTCATGCCCGAGACGAAGAACAAGTCTCTCGAGGAGATTGATGAACTCTTCTCCCGTCCCACTTCTGCTATTGTGAAGGAGAATCTGAAGAGTACGGGTGAGGTCATTGATGATCTGTTCCACTTGCGCTTTAAGAAGGTGTTTTCGCCCCCGCCAAAGGAGGACTAATTGATTGATTGATTGATTGATTCATGGGTTGGGAGTAGTAGTACTTTCCGTCCATGGGGTTAAGTTGATTGGTCAATGTGGATGATGTATATGTTTATGAATATAGGATGATCTGAAGATGAAACAGAAACAGAAACAAAAAATTGGGTGTTTTCCCGGCCACTTCATTATATAATGGGTTTATGATGGTCTTGACTGTGTTTATTTTAGTCCTATCTCTGATGTAATTTACTACTGCTACTACCACAGCTTGCTTTCTTGCAGTGGTGTCAATAATACCCCTTTTCACTCTGTCATATACATCTATATCTATATCTACATCTACATCTACATCTACATCTGCAGTATTATCACCTACAGAGTACATACATGCATATTCTGTAATCATTGCCGATGTAAATTAGCAGCTACGAGCGCAATGAGAAACATGGCCTATTAAGTCTTGCCGCCCAACTCGAACATTCATCCATGTCTTAAACTCAAATGTACGTGGCTGAGACCAACCGACTAATTAGTCATTGCTTGACTTCCAGCAATCTACAGACATAGTACTAATGGCGACGAAAATAATGAATCGCATATAATTCACGCTAAGTCTATATACCACGCAATGGATAACAAGCAAGACAGCGAGCAAGTAACGACCAGATTTTCGGTTCGGTGATATACAGGTGTATAGCCATATGCTTGATGGAGAAGAAGAAGCCAAGAGACGAAGTATCATGTAGGGATGGGTGAAGGGTACGACACGTATAAGATGGTAAACAGCTAACCCCGCACTTTCCGATAACTGGGTGGACTCCACGACCGCAGGATCAGTTTACCCGCCCAGATTGGAATGAGGGAGACGGCGCAGACGGCACAGACGCGCCAGAGCCAGTCTACTGTGATGACGTAGTGCAGGTCGAAGTAGCTGCCGAGGAAGGGAACGCTAGCGGCGTAGACGAGAGCTGTGCCGATGATGCAGAAGATCATGATTGGGTGCCAGGTGGTGATGGCGATGGCGACCATGAGGAGCTCGTTGATAACGAGGGAGGTGAAGGAGACGCTGATGAGACGGGGGCCGGTGATGGTGTCGAGGAGGATTTGGGAGAGGCCCTGAATGACGGCGCCTTGGTAGACGGAGACCAGGACCCAGGTGAAGAAAGAGCGGTAGCTGAGGCTGCGGCCGGTTTTGAGCTCCTTGTAAAGTTCAGGG